TGTTGCCCATTGGATTGTTGTTGGCCATGTGCTTGACTGCTGGGGACATGTCACTTCTGTTAGGACAGCCATCTGCCATGCACGACGGTGGCGGTTGAATAATGTCTCGACGATCAACGGCATTTCAAGGACGTCGGGGGGCCTGCTTTCTGCCTTGAAAGGTTGTTCTCGCAGCCTAGCGACATTTGCTAATTTCCATTGCAAGTCCTTGCTTGACTGTCTTGGGGCCATGTCTCTGACAGCCGGCAACAACACGACCTACCCGCATTCGGTCTCTCCGCGCATTCCAAAGAAATAAACCCTCCGGCCGCAGAGTTGACATCCCCACAGCTTGCATGTGCACAGTCAGTGTGAAGCGCAGCTACTGTGGGCCAGTTGCCGTCTCGCATTTGCATTCAGCATTCGATGTTTCCACCCTGTGGGCTGAGGAATTACCCAGCCCTACGCTGAAGCCAATTCAGGTCTAGTCATGGAGCAACAGGAAAGAAAATAAACACCGGAATAATACATAAATACACCCAAACCTAATAGACATATGGTTCCGGAACGGACTGTTAGTTATGACCACAAATTACCAACAAAGGATGCCTTCCGTACGCCCTCAACTACCAGACCCCGCCCATGCACGAATCTGCCTACAACGATGCGTGGTTCAAATAAACTGTAGCTATATTCAGAGGAGTTCAAGTAAAACTTTGCGCTTTTATCGTCGCGCAGCCTGTCAGAACCCACCTAGCGGAATCTCGTACATATCAGGTTTCATCAGCTGCATCTATTTCGGACGGAGTGCAGATCATCTTGGCCTCCTCCCCGCCCGCCGAGGTAGATCCTAGTAATGCGAGCTTAGGATGCGACATAGCGCACTTCCTGCTTCTCCGCATTATTAGCCTTGGAATTTGTATATAAGCCCTCACCTTTCCTCCCTCTTTTTTGGCTACATCCAGGCGCCGATACCCAGCCCTGAACTGTCTGCCATATAGGAGGAATATCAAGCAATAATGCGGTCCTTCACATCACCATTGGCATGGACTACCCTTGCCCTGGCTTTCTCCCCGGCTGCCCTCTCGGGGCCAGTCAAGAGAACCAATGGGCCATGGATGGCTATTGACTCCGACTTCCCGGACCCGAGCTTCCTCAAGGCCGCCGACGGTGTCTGGTATGCCTTTGGCACAAACGGTAATGGCAAACGCATCCAAGTTGCCAACTCGACAGACTTTGTCACATGGACGCTGCTGGATATTGAGGCGCTGCCGACAGTAGCGAGTTGGGAGCTTGACGAAGAGCACTGGGCTCCGGACGTGATTCTGCGCGTGAGTCCTTTTCCCCTCGAAAGCATGAGCCAGAATAAAGTTCTAATATAGTTCTAGGATGACGGAAAATATGTCATGTACTATTCAGGCGATGCCGCATCCGATTCACCACACCACTGCGTCGGCACAGCAATCGCCGACACCCCAACAGGGCCCTACGTGCCCAGCGACACGCCGCTCTCATGCCTCCTGGACCAGGGTGGATCGATCGACCCTTCCGGATTCCTGGACTCAACTGGATCCCGATATGTGGTGTTCAAGGTAGACGGCAACAGCATCGGACATGGCGGCGACTGCAACAACATGGTGGATCCCATCGTCCCGACACCCATTATGCTCCAGGAAGTCGCGGCCGACGGCGTCACACCTGTGGGCGATGCAGTGCAGATTTTCGACCGCGACGCGGACGACGGACCGCTTGTCGAAGCACCCAACCTCATACTCCAGGGCGGTACTTATTTCCTTTTCTACTCCTCGTACTGCTTTACGGATCCGCAGTATAGCGTGAAATATGCGACTGCTCCCTCTATTACTGGGCCTTACACTCGGAGTGGCGTTCAGTTGGTCCAGACTGGCACGTATGGGCTTACCTCGCCTGGCGGTGGGACTGTCTGTGGATGTGGCCAGGAGATGCTGTTCCATGGTTTCTGTGGAGATGTCGCCGCTCAGGATGAGAGGTGTATGTATGCCGCGAACATTGTCATTGATGGCACGAACATTACCCTTGCTTGATTGTGGTCAAGCTTTCGATGTTTATATTTTTGGAAATATTTGCATGGCCTGGGTCTATCCCGTCTAATAGAGTTAGTTATTTATAATAATCTTTGGCACAGACTTCCAGGATGTGTAGACTCTGATATCTTGGCCTCCCGAGTTAGGGTTTGGCGGGAGAACGTGACTCGTACCGCTGAAGCATTGAAAGATCGGAACTCCTGCAACAAGATCCCCTACAATTATCATGTTCTTGCATAATTCGTGCATGTTGATCTGATCTTATTATACTTGAAATGACAGAAATCAGAGAGCAACTGCAAACAAAAACCATTTTTTGGGTATCTATATCGTGACTAAAATGTCATAAACATCTACACCGAATTTTCCTCCCGGGCGCGCCTTTTCTCCCGGACAGTCTGCACCCAGGCCTCAGCACCCGAAATTGCCTCATCAGGCATACCTTTATGATTAAGAAGATACCCCTGAATCTCAGCGGCGGTGAACTCGCCGGTGGGAACGATGGAGGCAAATTCCGACGCCAGGACGCTGATGCGAACGCGCAGGGATTCGAGACGTCGCTGGAGTTCCCTGTTTGCCCTTTCTTTTTGTTTTTCTTTATCTCTGTCATTAAGCTCCTTTTTGGGCTCTGGTCTCTCCACCACCACTGTGTCACCCGAGGTTGACGCAGACTTCGTTGAGCTATTACTCAGACGTCGGGCCGGAGACATGCGTGAAAGATCACGCTCCATGGTTATGTAGATAGACCTGAAGAGCTCTTCAATATCGGCGCGGCTAGTGAAGCCAAAGGCAATGCTCATGTCAACTCGACCTGGCCGCAGTAGCGCTGCATCCAGCTTGTCTTCATGGTTGGTGGTCATGACCAGAATCCGGCCTTCGCTGGCAGCGACACCGTCGATGACGTTCAACAGGCCGGAGAGTGTAATGCCATCCTTTTCAGCCTCGTCAGGGGAAATTTCTGGGTTGATCAATTCATCAGGAGGCCGTTGTTGCGCGATAGTTGGATCGTCGGCGTTGGAGGAGTCTTTGGTGGTAGCCGTCTTGCCCCGGCTGTGGGTGATTCCGGCGGTATCGACATCCTCCAGGAGGACAATACACCGCCGCGGCAGTTCCGCAAACAAGGACATCAAGCTGTCTTCGTCGAGGGCTCTGGAGTTCAAGTTGAGAAGATAGAGCCTCAAACCCAACAGGCCCGCCGCAGCAAAGCAGAGACTCGTCTTCCCTGTGCCGGGGGGACCATGGAGAAGATATCCGCGGCGATAGGGGATACCGCGGTTTGAATACCAGCGGCGAGTACGGGGATGCAGGTATTCCTTGATGTCATCGATGAATCCCTGTTTCTGCTCCTGGTCCAAAACAACCGTGGACAGCGGGCGCGGCGCGCGTGCCATGCACCGGATCCAGTTGAACGAGCTGCCAGAGTTATACCGCTGGCCGCGGTAGATGATGGTGCGGTTACCGTCGCGCTCGACGTAGGCTTGCTGTGCGTCGGCGAGCATCTTTTTAAGCACCGTAGGGTTGCGGCCTAGGCACGATAGATAGACCTTCTCGTTATTCAACACCCACCGTGTGGTCTCGGACTGGTGTCTCCGCTCGAGCATGATCGGCTGGCCCTGGTACCAGAAGATATGCCGGCCCTGCGCCGGAGTAAAGCGAAGCTGCTTGTACTTATCCCGACTGATGACTTTGGCCCAGTAGTCGTCGAACGATTGAGAAGAAGACGATGGTCGAGAGTCATCATCTTCGTCGTCTGAGAATTTATCACCGAACCCATCGTCTTCGTCGTCCTCGTCGTCGCTGTCGTAGTAGCCGCTCATTTTCACCCCGGCTACGAACCGGTTCGTTCGCTTCATGTGCGGCTGCCGCGACATCCAGTACATGAAGTACATGAAGATCTCATCGTCGAGCCGGATCTCGGCCGTTGACACGAGGTACTCCTTGAACAGACCCGTGAGCTGATTGATGCTGTAGCGGATCGATGCGCCGAAGACGGCAAGTCCGACCATTATTTGGAGGTAGAAGGAAAGGTCGAGCTGGAGGTAGGATAGAAAAAATCGGGCAATGAGAGTGTATCCCGGTACCAGCGCTTCAAGCATGGCCGTGTCCGGGGAGAAGGGCTGGGCCCCCGGACTTGTCTGGGTGTGGTTGTAGGCCATGATGGCGTGTGGCAGTGGGAGATGAGAGGTATGAAGAAGTAACAACTCTATCTCTCTGGAAGAGAAAAGAGAGAGAGAGAATGTACAAGGCCTTTTCCGTTTGTCTATCCAGCCCTAGAAGATATTATGAATGAATAGCGGGAGAAATCTCCTGTGAATGAAGTAAAGGGAAAAAAAGAAAATGAGATTCTTTTATATCTGTTACTGGAGCCTCCAATTTTCATTCTTCATCCCACTTTTCAGCCTCATCTTCATTTTCGCAGCTTGGTCTTTGTTGCCTGTTCTGGTGCCCGCTGGTTGACTAACTCGCAGTAGGACAAATAGGCGGGCGATGCACCGCCACGTAGGCCTTGAGTCATTGCCGCAGTTGCAGGACGCCGGGATTCATTTATAGGTCCATAGGATTCAAAAGATGGGGTCGAGAACATCCTGATTCGGATAGGGGAGGGCGCCCACTTTTTCCCCCTATAGTGAGGCTGATTCAACCTATCCCCCGTCCGCATCACCCCCATGGGATATAGGCTTGATCACTTCCTATCCCAAAAATCACCTCTTCGGCTAGGAATCTCGGCCTGAAGATCAATCTCCCTATAGAATGGCCATCGCTCTATAACATACTAACAATTCCGCCCCGCCGCTCAACGATCGGTAATAGCATCGTACTTAAGACCTCGTCTAATGCCATCGTGATCCCGCCCCACTTTTTCTACTGCCCTTGAGTGGATCGCCTTAATGGTACCTCCCACGATGCCCCGCCCCCCATGAGATAGGACTTTGACATCTCTCATTCACTTGAACCAAAATGCCACCACTATCCAAACCCGAACTGGAATTTACACCCATACTCAACAGTAACGGTGTTTTTTCGTCCAAGATAACATCGATCTCTAATACCGACGGTAGCTTCACCAGTTACAAGACCTACACCCTATCCTTGGACCCTACCACTGGCGATAAAACAGTCTACAAAGAACACGCTCCTGGTAGCGTCTGGGGTGGAAACCCTAGCGATAACTTCGACAAAGACACTGTCTGTGCGCATGACTATTGGGAGGAATGCTACATTATAGAGGGGAGATTATATGATGTGGGTAAAAAGCGGTGGATGGAAGCTGGTAGCTATTGCTGCAGACCACCGGGAATGTTACACGGACCATTCAAGGCGGATGAAAAGGTGGGGTGCAGGGAGATATGTATGGCGAGATACGAGCAGAAGTAGTTAATCACTAGGATTAAAGGGTACCTGTTTTGTCCTGGAGACACCTGGCAAGTCCAGCCTTCCTAAAACTGTAAACCAAAGATGACTTGAAAGAAATATAAGTTTAATATTATTCGGTAAATATAGTAGGCTAGTTCGTTGTAGAGAATCAAGGCTCATTATCCAATTCAAGAGTCGGTGCGTTGGATGCGATGGGCAAAAACATGACTCTCCCTCGGGGAATCGAACCCCGGTCTCCCGCGCTTATCGGTGTTAATGACAAGCGGAAATCATGACCACTAGACCAAGGAAGATGAGCTGGCCGAGTTACTGCTCGGCCACTTGGTGCTGGATGAGGCTGAAGAGATGGCCAATCGATCTCCGTGTGTTGCGGTGACTTAATGGAAGCAAACACCGCTACTCTGGATTTGAACATGTCCTCCTTATGATAAACGATTATGCTATATGCAGGGTGGGTATCTAGTAAATTACAAAATAGAAACAACAGATCGCAAGCCACCGCACCAGCCACAGGCCTGGCGCAGTCCATCAGCTCAGCCGGACGAATCCTTCCCCTTTCCGGAGATCGCATCACCGGCGGAAGAGAGCAAGTTGCCGGCCCAATCTTTGAACTTCTCGACTTTGCCCCAGAGGGTCCCCCACCACGTCGGACCTTTCTCATCATCACTGCCCGGATCTGTAGCGGGAGGCGATTCGGACGCGCCCGGGTTTGAAGCCCGTGTAGGCTGCGGCGTAGGCGCAGGTCCAGCCGTAGTCGAAACCTCGGCCGGTGGGTCAGCTGGTTGCTCAACTGCTGGGGCATTCTCATCCGAATGCAAGCCCACCGGCTTGAATGGGAGGCGCAGTGTGCCGTTGTTCGGTAGGGGATCGATTCCTAGCGAGTCGCAGAGGATGTTGTACACCTCAGTGTTTTCTGGACAGATCAGTTGGATGGCTACTAGTCAAGAATTGCAATACGATACTCACGGAACGCTTCGAGCCGGCTGTTGGGAGCATGAGGGAAAGCAGGGCCATGTGCGATGAAGATCGCACGCATCAATGGGTGCTCGTGGTCATACCCATGAATGCCTTTCGGGTGGTAGACTTCGCCCGTCTCCAGGGCTTTCTTTGCGTCAAACTCGGGCCGCTCAACGATTGCCCAGCCGGTCTTGGGAATCACCCACAACGGGGCGATGCGGTCGTTGTTCGAGAAGTGGTAACGCTCAGGCATGGTTTGCCGGGTGTAAATCTCCATCGCGTGCGAATAGTCTTCCTTTACCTTATCGAGCTGGTCCTGAAGGAGTTGAAGGTCTTCGGGCCGCTTGGGACGTAGTCCGCGCGATGGCCACCCGTCGGTATGCTCGACCAAATCCATATCAATCAGGTCATCTAGCTGGACCAGCCGCTCGTTGGATGTGGTGGCCATGCCGTGATCAGATACAATGACCAGGTTGACCACATCCGTCAGGTTGCGACCTTTCAGACCTGCCACGAGCTCGGCTATCAGGCCATCCGCCTCCGCGATCGTGTCGCGGATTTCCGTACTGTTGGGACCGTAGTTGTGCCCATCCCGGTCAACATTGGGCACATACGCTGCGATAAACTGTGGCCGTTCAGGCACCATGTCCGATTCATTCTCCGGGCCAGGGAGATCGAGCAACTCCAGAATGCGGTCGACCTTGCGGAACAATGCCTCGGACCCATTGTACTTGTCCAGATAAGTTGGCTCCTCGTCCATGATGTGCGCTTCGGATCCCGGCCACATGTGGATAGCGCTCCTGACCCCCTGCTCTTCAGCCGTCACCCACAGTGGTTCTGCATTCCACCACTTGGGCTGCATGCTGACGGACGAGTCCGTGTAGTAGAACTCCTCCTGCAGCGCCGGGTCATAAAAGCTGTTTCCCACAATTCCATGGCTTTCCGGGTATAGTCCAGTCACGAGTGTAAAGTGGTTCGGGAATGTCACACTGGGGAAGCTGGGGAGCATGTACTGGGGGGAGACGCCGCCTGCGACGAGAGAGTTCAGGGCCGGGGTCAGGCCGCGATCGAGGAAGTCGGCTCGGAAGCCATCCAGCGAGATGAGGATGGTGGTGGGAGCGAAGAGTGCGGTCCCGTTGGAGAGCAGCGGTTGAGGATGGGCGAGTGCGGCGCGGAAGTTGCTGGAGGCTTTGTAGGCACCGAGTATGAGGATCAGGAAGAGGATGAAGACGAGAGCGAAGATTAGAAGGCATTTGCGCCAGGATATTCGAGGTAGCTAGATCATTGGGGGATCAGGTCAGCCAGACAACAAGCCCCGAACACCGAGTCGACTTACCGGTTCGTCATATGTGTATCCATCCTCCTCGTCCAAATCAAAGGAGGACCCGCTCAGGAAGGATTCTTCATCGCCAAAGCCCTCCTCCATCTCATACATCAGCTCCCCATCCTCACTGACCCGTTCCCGATGCGGGACGCGGGCCTCTCCTCGCCGGCGCTTGGTCTTCTTGCCGATCCGGACGCTGCTGCCGTTTGGACTGAAAATCCTGCGAATGGAAGGCCGCCGAGTTAACAGCTTCTCTCGCTCATCTTCATCGTCTAGGACGGCGCGGTCGTGCTCGGCGAGTTCGAGGGTACTGCGCTTGCGGGCCAAGAAGTCATCGTCGTCGGAGTCGGAGTCCTGGACGGAGGGCGACCGCAATGAAGTGTTGTCTGCGTCGTAGTTGGCGGAGAGAAGTGAAGGACTGTACAGCTCAGATTGGAGAGGCATCTGGCCGGAGTGCGCTTTGCGCAGGTGGAGGGAAGAGTGTCCAGGAGGAACGAAGGGGCGAAGGCGAACCCGAAGGTGAACCCCGGATCATCTGCGAAGTCAACTAAACACTGTGGTAACTAGTTGGGTCAATTAGGCAACTATCTACACAGAGACAGTCCTGTTTATTTTGATTCTTCTTATTGATCCAACGTTTTGATTATGGTTCTATCCAATTCATAAAACCCCTTGTCCCGACCGAACTTTCGGCCAACATACTGAGTAACTAGGAACTAACTGGCTTGGAAGGTGACGATACACTCCCTGGCGGCATACTGCAATTCGCATCCCCTATCCTTGATCAAACCCGTAAATAATCCTGTCGCATTGAGCATCTAATGCCTCCACTAGGGCACCACAAACTACCAACGCAGAACTATACCGTGTGAGCTACTCGCGGCAGTATACCGAAGCGGAGCATGACGACCGAAGATCATACGTTCACAATTCTGCTTCCCCAACATCTCTGAGAACGGAGATCAACAACACTCCGCCACTGACGTTTCATCTGAATACCCTCCACATTCTGCAGGCAATGTGTCAATGGCATTCTTTCCTTTCTCTCAACTGCACATGGCAGGCAGATCGATGATCCTCGATCTGGGGGCGCCATGGACATTCCTTGCGGATGACAGCCTGGAGTTACAGAGGCTCGATGCTGGTGTCGTGTGCTCTCCCAAGATCCTACACGAGCGACCGGATGCAGTTGGACGGCGATAGCTCCCCAAAGTGGTGGCCAGGCACCTCCAATGATGGGCTCCCGAGAGGCTCACGTATCGGCCGGACGATGGACTCCCGATGGCTCAGCCTCTCGGCCCCGATGCCCGCCATGGATCTAATAATAATAGCAATCTACTTTGGACCCTACCATATCTGCGCAGTGGAGCAGTCAGATGACCTTCCCCAGGACCATTCGATCGAAGCCTCATACCCTTGGGTCTGACGCTGAGGTTCTCTTCCCTGAGCCAGCTCCATCCATTGTCTCCCAACAAGTTCATCCACTTGACCCACTGAGTGTTTCTCTGCAAACAGCTCAAAGCCATTGTCCACGGTGCCTGGAATTCCTCGTTGGCGCCGTCACTTGGGCTCTTCCGCTTTCGATACTTTCCTATTTGGGACATCACGTGACCACAAACATGCTGTCTCAATCGGTCTCAGTCGTCCAGTTGATGCTAGAGAGATCCACGGTTGCACCAACTCGGCCGGGGTCCGGAGTAACATTGGCTCCCCGGATGCGGAAACTGGCAGCTCCAGCTCGTCTCCACCGGGCCCTGCAGGTTCGTCGATGGTACCAGAGGTACGGCTAATCTGGTTGAGGAACATGGAAGGAAATAAAATTTTTCTTCTGCCATGTCATCACGATCTGACGGGTCCGGATTTGGACAGCTCTTCGTCTATAAGAATGGCGCTCCCGGGACCCCCGGAGCAGGTTTTCTTCTTCTTCCTTTCCCATCGCATTCACATCCATTCATATTACTAGGTATGTTCTCCTTGATCACGGAGACTTTGGTCCATTGTCTGACATTCATCACAGCCCGCTTAGTCGTTCGTTAAGACAAGCTCTTCCATTCAATCGCTTTCATATCATCCAACATGCACTTCACTGCTTCGACCATTGCCATCCTGGCCCTCGCCGCCGGTTCCCAGGCTGCTGTGCCCAAGAAGGGCGAGCCCCCAATCTTGAACCACAAGTCCGTGATTCCCCAGGGTACCGGTGTTAGCACCGGCACCCACCCGATCATGACCGGCACCGGCGGTGGCAACCAGACCGTTACCGTGACCTCTGCCTGCCCCAGCTGCCCCAAGTCGACCGTCCCCGTCCAGGTCCCCAGCTCCACCCCCGGTGCTGCCGTCAGCTCTGCTGCTGCTGGTGCTGCTGCCTCCTCTGCCGCTGGTGCCGCCGGTGCCGCCGGTACTCCTGCCGCCGGAGCTGGTGCCGCTGGTGCTTCGGGCGCTGCTGCTGCTGGTGCATCGGGTGCTGCTGGCGCTGCCGGGCCCACCTCCAGCCCCGGCTTCACCCCTCCAACCCGGGTGCCAAGGTCGCCGTGCCCATGGCCGGTGTTCTGGGCAGCGTCGCCTACGGCCTGCTCCTCGTTTAAGTGTTTTTTCACTCTCTTTTTGTGATTTGATCTCGTTTCGGATGCCGGTGTTCAGTGTCCGTTTACGCGCTGCCTTGTCGGCTTTCTATATGTCTCCTCTTCTTCTTTCAACCTACTGGCTGCTGTCCATATGAAATGAAAGAAGAGTGAGATGGGCGAGGCGCGGTAATCGTGACAGGCGTTACGGTTTAGATCGATCTTTTTTTGTGTCTTTTTCTGGGTCTTGGTTTTGTGTTTCTTGGGATACATACTGGAAGTCCCTAATGTAATGTTAATCAAAAAACGACGAAAAAAAGTGGTTGGAACTTTGTTGTGCTTGAGTAGATATGACTAAAGTGAGTAGACTCTCGCTCCTGTGGTGCCTCCAGGGCTATGGGGTAATGGCACCAAGGTTCAGGCTCAGTGGCAAAACCGATGCAACCAAAGCAAACCTTGGCGCTGTCATACAGTTTTGACATTCTATTAATAGCCTGCCAAAAGAGGGATAACGCTTGAAAATTTTCCTTTCAGCAGTGAACCATCGTTGGTACTGGAGTTTTGGGTTGTTGGCATCGTGCGATCCAGTGGTAAGTCATGGCACTAACCCTAGGTAAGTGAGTTAGTTGACCCCAAAGTCGTCGGCTAGAGGAATGTCTGGGGAACTGGTCCAAAGCAAAGCATATTTTCTGATGCCATCTCTCGCCATTTGCTTCATTCACTCGTTATTCGTTGGTTAGGGGAATAGGTAGTTGATATTAATAGAACTGTCGAGCTAATATACTTCAGTTGCTACTATGTATTACTCAATCTTTTCTACAGTAAAAGTTCCCTTTTCTTATGATTTTGAGACCGATCTCTGAACTTTAACATTAAGATTTGCTTTTTAAGGTTCTTCTTTGTTTTTTTTCCCCCATAAACGGTAGAGCATTCAATGGTTGGATTTTAGTCTCAAAAATCAAATTTATTAATGATTTTTTTATTTGTATAGTACCCGCAAAATCTTCGAAAACCACTAGCTACGCGACAAGTGGACCTTCCTCATCCCCGTGGGTAAGATGGGTACCCTCGAAGACCTCATAGACGCCGTCACCTTCCTACTTAGCGACGCGTCTAAGTATATCACCGGTGCGGACCTCCGCGTCGACGGTGGCTACACCCTGACATAAAATATCTGTTGCTATGTCGTTTAGCATGATATTGATGTTTAGGTTTTTGCTTTTTCTTTTCACGGATGCGATATAGACTGATTGTATCTTTCATATTTTCATATTTTGATATCTTTTATTTTCATCATTCAAATCATCAGGTCAAAACAACTTGTTTATTTAATGCTTCATCTCAATTGAGGCTTTGGTGTTGGGAGGGGGAGAGAGAAACGAGAGAAAAGCTTGCAATGGACTGGGGCTTAGCGAATGTGATAGGAGGGACCGTTTGCTGGGCTGGTGTACCAACCAACCAACCAAACCGCTTCAGCAGTTTTTCTTATAGAGCGGAGCCTTGTGTGTTTCATCGCTCCAAAGGCAGTATTCAGAAACGGTATACTATAGCTCTCCGTGCCCTACTCTCGCCCTTCACCGCCCTTCCCCTGTCTCTCAGCCGCACTTGCATCACCAGGCGCTTGGGTGAAATTTGTTTCGTAGCAACTCTTAAGGACCCTGATCATTTTATCTCAAGATAATGGAGGCAGTCGGGGCTGCTTCTGCCATCCTCTCAATTGCAACAGTCGGTGTGCAATGCTCCATGAAGCTGATGACCTTCGCAGGTCAGATCAAAACGGCGCCAGAACAGATTGCCAAGATCGCGGAAGAAGTGTCGTTGAATGCCAGTATCCTGCAGCAACTGGGTGAATTGGCCAAGGAGAATGTCGGAAATGGACGCCCTATATCAGATGACAAAGACAGCAGTAACGACGATATGAAGTCGGTCCGTGATGCGGAGACCACAGCATCCAAACAGAGTATCTTTAATGCAAAGGGACTGGGAACTGTCATGAGCCTGGCAGAAAACTGCGAAGAGATCTTTAACTCATTGGATCAATCCTTACGCAAGGCAAGCAAACAGCTGCGTGCAAAACCCGGGAATTCTGGCAAGGTCAAACTTAGTCCCGCAGAGAAGTTCAAATGGCCGTTCCTACTACCTGGAATGGATACGTTGCGAGACGAGCTCCAAAATGTCAAAGGCACTTTGATGTTGATGCTTCAAGTCGCCATGCTGGCGTATTCGAGGAAGCTGATGAGCCAGTAAGTCACTCCTACTCTCTTTTGTACCACCGCCATGGGCCATCGCTAATTTCGAAGATACGGGGAGCATAATAAACGCGGTGCGGCAGTTATTGCCTATACTAGAGAGGATCAGGACGTGTTGGTTCGGTCCATTGTTGCAGCGAAGAAAGCTTGCACTGAAAAGGAGACTTCTGGAGCTTCCAATATCCAACCAAACAAGGAAATACCCTTAGAAGGAGAGCAGACTCAGTCCTCCCAACGTCCAGTGCCCTCCAAGATCCTGGCGACCATAATGGATTCTGGACCGAATAGCGCAGCAGAAAGTACCCCATCGTATGTACATCTTGTCGACCGTGGATATGCTCAGACAAAATTAACGCTAGCGGAGCAGTGAGCCAGATCCCACCATGGTGGATACCAATACCCAAGAAGATGAAAGATCCAGGTATGTGCTCTTAGAAGCATGTTAATCCAGGGAGCTGGTTTCGTTCGAGACACGACAGCGGAATAAATTTCAGTCGAAGGGGTGATCCCAGCAAACAGTAAGAGCATGATGGGATCACCTAGTATCGATTAGATCCCAGAAGTAATAAGCATACTAAGCTCTGTTTTCCAGGATGCCACGTTCTCAACGATCATCACCCCCCTCGTCCCACGTCTCCATTTTGTCGCCCTCGCCCACCTTTAAGGTCCATATCATCTCCCCTAAAGCGTCCGTAACGGAGCACCAACTCCATATCAGCTACGATGACTGCTACATCAGACTCCCGAATTCAGCCGTCGAATCTCAGCTCCAAGAATGGAGAACGTCTTCCAGAGCCACTCTGCTGGATCAGTTATCGGCCCTGGATGCCAGAGAATATGAAGCGCTAGTTGCTACGACGAACCGCATTGACTCGAGCACATTCACGGAGGATGAAAAAGAAACCCTAGAGTGGGTCCAGTTCGGCGAATACCGTACTCTCATTGAAGGCATTGAGCAGGTCAAGGCCAGGAACATAACGATGATCATGAGTGGGTTGTATGGGCCGACTTCCCGGTTCGAAAAGAAAGAAACAAAACAGGAATTGGCGGAAATTCGGGGGACAACGTGGATCAGGGTAAGGCGCAATGAGCTCGACCTAGTTATAATTATGGCTGAGACGGTTGAGCAGGTCCATCGCCAGCATATCACTCCTTCAACCTTGGCAGCATATGGACTGCCGTGGGATTGGGATGAGGTACTATCTAAGTCGTGCATGCACGCATCCTGAAATTCTACCACATTGCCGTAACGCTGACCTGTTTTAATAAAAAAGGAAGATAGGAACTACATTATCATCAAAAGATGGATCGCCGAAGATTTTCAGGACGAACTATTCGCACATACCAGAGGTGTACGCGAGGGGACTGTTCAGCTTTCAGGCACCACAACTGAGTTGAGGGTGAACGACAGGAACAAGGATAAGATGTATCTCGTCCGCAATAAGAAGGCGGATAAGGAGAGAAGAATACGGAGATTTGAAGGAGAGGAAGAAGGAGAGGAAGGACAGGAAACGGATGCGGGTGAGCATGATGAGACCACGTCAGACGAGAGCGATGCAGAGGAGAGCGATGAGGATACAGAAGGCATTGTCGACGCTCTTTTGGCTGAGTACACCTGTAAGATGTGAGGGAAGAATGATGATGTATTGTGTAAGAAGAGAGCTACCTGACATGACATGTCACAACACCCGTGAATGAATCCAGCAGCAGATCTTCAATTTCCCAAGCGGCAAATTCCTCGTACTGTTACCCTACCCTACGGGGATTAGTGGAGTCTGGCACACTCCAGTAGACTGCATCTGTCTTAAGAGTCAAATGATCTCGTTTGACGGGTCCAGCATCCATATTATCTGGGATATCTGATGTCTTTTTGTCTATATTCCGTATTCCTCCCTGTGAGATCTCAAAATGGATTATTCGTCTTTCAAAGTCGCTCTGTCTGTCGTGATTCCTTAGCCCTCGGCATATATCCCTCAGCCAAATGAAACCTGCTGCCAGTAGCTTCTTGAAACATTCTCCGGATCATGGCTATTCTTCACATTGATCCAGATTGGTTGGAAGTATTTCATCTTATGCGACGCATCCCGAATATTATGGTCCAAGACGAGGACAGCATTCCGTTGTAACACCCAGTCGATGTAGTCCCCAGACACTGCAATAACAGGAACCCCCAGAGGATCAAACTTTTCCTTCAACTTTCCAATCTGGTCCCGTTGCTTCTTTGAGCTCCGTTCCGTCTCGCCCATCCACTTGCGTAAAAGTTGTAGTGAGCATACCCATGCAGGTCGAATACCCTTAAATCGATTTGAACATGCCACCTTCATGACGCGCCTGAAGGCCACTTTCTCTTCGGCTGACACCAAGCCTGCATTTTCCACCACATCACGGAGGAATGTCCACAGGAGCGTTCGGTCCCATCCACAGTCTTCTAGTAACGCAAAGAGACCGGCAGCGCAAGAGAACTTCCACTCGCGAATGGCCACTACTAGAGGTAGAATGATTTGACGCGTTTCACGGGGCCAAAACTTGAGCTTCCTCGGTGGGCGCTTGTTTGTTCTTGCAGCATAGGCAGCACGCACATGTTCTATTAGCTCGGGATGGAGTCTTTCGAAATGGCGAAGATATAGCTCAGCAGGCTGCGTCTCGAAAGAGAGTAAAGACCAGTTAGAGGAGAAGTGTTTAAGAGTATATGGGAGAGCCAGAAGATGGAGAATGGGATTGACAATAAAGTATGCCGGGAGGCCGACGGCAATGCCATAAATCGACTCTACGAGAAAGCTTATCGCACTTAGAAACGTGTCCGTAGCATCTCGCATCGAAGACATGCTTGGAAAGTGGGGGCAATTTTCACGCGATCAGCAGAGTTGCGACTGAACAGCCAAACGAACGGAACCTATGCCATCTTTATTGAACAGAAAGACAATCAAGAACGCTAAAGAAGCCTTCGCTTCTTATCTCCATGAACGGAATGCAAATACGGGGAGGCGCAAGACACTTGTCCATTCTGAGTTAGTAAAGATCAGAAATCCAGCCAAATACGAGCGGCACAACCCACCATCGGATCAAGAAGGGAAGTAGGAAGAGGGTATATCATTTTGCAAGCTCCCCAATCCTCCGCCCCACCCGCCGTTCACTTACTCCCACTCACTTCTGTTATGCCCATATCCACTCGGCTGAGAAACGTCTTCTCCAAACTAAGGAGAAATAAAAGCAAGCAAAAGAGCAGGACTCTATCTTCACCTGCCAACAACTCACCCCAGCAAAACCCAAAAGCTGCACAGAGACAGAAAACGCTAGCCCAAGCTTCTCGCCAAGGCGATATCATCGCCGTGACAGAAATTCTCCAAAAATGCGGAGCAACTCCAGAGGGAGAAGAGTCCTTGCGCGCAGCAGCCTCGAATGGTCATGCAGATATCGTTCTCCTGCTCCTGCAGCATGGGATAGACCCGAACAGGCTCGACAGCATCGGCCAAGCTGCTCTGCACGAAGCTGTTATCCATGGCCATGGCAAGGTTGTTCGTCTACTCGTTGAGAACGGTGCAGACCCGTTCATAGGCACTGTGCCTATTCTGTGGCTTGCGGAGCTATATTGGAATAAGAGGCCGTTAGAATTACTGCGAGAATTGCTCCGCAAACATCACCCGGAAAGATTTGAGGAAGAACATCCTACACCAGCGAGGCCAGCAGTGAAGCCAGAAGTAAAGAAGGCTCCAGTTAAAGCATTCAAGAACTCTATCAGAGACTCTCCCGCATCTTTAAGCAAAGATCTTTGGCCAGATCGGGTTTTTACCTCCAGAGGGGAAAGGATAAGTGTCGCGCCTTCTGATCCAGCTTACTGGAATTGACTCTTTATAGCGGAAATGTCCAGTTTAAACACGGGCAATCTGCACAGGTGGTGGTGGCTGGTGGGGAGGCGTGAAATTGAATTTCGATAGCGATGAGTGAAGATCAACAGGTAGAGAATGGGAGCTGGTGAAGAGAGAATTGTTGTTTTCTGTACAGTAGGAGCTGAGGTCAAACACAGAGGGTTGGATAAACAGAGTGTGAATTAAAGTGTGCAAAAGGCGACTAAGAACACAGAGGGGACAAAAACGGAGCGTGAATCTTTTGTTTAATCACTGCCCTTTGAATTGTGAGTTGGAACGAGTATTGAATTCAATTGGCCAGGCGTGACCACGTCCCTGCACACGCTCTCCAGAGGCCTCACGTGCATTTGGTAATACCCTGGCGACCCCAGTTCTGTAGCTAGATATATTTTTTCAATCTACTGAAGCAAAAGGAGATCTTGACGAATCCATATCCCTGCCCTATTATACAGGCTCCCCCAGCATTCCTGTACACGAACTGACACGCTGCCTTTTTTTGTATTAGCCCTCGGCGATGTACGTCGTGCAGGCCACTACGGGTGTTCCCGAGAGTGGATTTTTGGCTCCAAGGAACCCAAAAATCCCATTCCTGATTTCCACAGCACCCCTACATATACAGTGATTTCAAGATCGACTTGGCCAATGTACACACAGAAGGACTATTTTGAGGTGGTTCGAGAGATTATGTGGGTGGCAGATTCTACGGGGACCATATTAGTTTCAAATGGCGAAAAGGGGAGATAATTATAGTAGATCTTACCGACTCTCTATGTGCCATATTCTTCTTGTAGTCCGCTATTCTCTAGGAAATAGCCCTCTACTTGACTTTTTTCATCTATTCGGGGGGAGGGGTGAAAGTTACTAGCGACATAGGAAAACGTCATTTCGGCCTAGACTCCTAGGAACATCAATAGGCAGTAGAGCTTGCTCAGGGCTAGCTCCGAGTGCTCAGTGAGCTGCTCACCCCGTGATCTCAGAGCCGATCGCTTCCTGAGATGGTAGCCTTACCGTCACCATTATTACACATATGATGAGTATTTCCTATCCCCACAGTATCTATCTGAGGCCTCCCAAGGGTCGACCACTGGGTGGATGCCGTTGACCGCTCAATCGACGACTTACCCAGAAACCATAAATCAGCGAATACGCTAATTCGATTTTCATGGACGTAAAAGACTCGGATCCCATAGTTGCGTCATGAACGAAGACAGGGGTCACCATCCTTAAACAAAAGCGATTAAATTGATGTCTAATTTCTACCAAGTTGGAAGACCGCATAATTATTCCGAGAATGACATGCTGGGCTGTTGCTCGTGATGGTGACTTAAAGTCTCGGGTCAATGCTTCAGCCGCACTGCCCCCGCATCGAATACGAACCCTGTGGCCAATATCAATAATCATATCCGCCATGTGTTCGTGTTAGGGCGGTCGATATCAACCATGCGAAGAAATTAGGCAGCATCCAGGTTTCTGTTTACGGAGTATATATGACAGAAACGTCCCCTGTAGCCCAACTTCATACTATCTCTTAAGTATCGCGTGGCAAAACTCAAAATACTCAGTGTTATTATGCTCACGAACCATTGTGATGACAAGCATACAATCTGCTCCTGAGAAAACCTTTTTGCGACACGGAATCCACCTCGAGGTTAAACCCAGAGGGGGGTTCTATACAAGCGGCGATAAGGTCATTGGAGTCGTTCACTTTAATCCTCTTTGGGGCACGAAATCTGTGACAGAGGTTAATATCCGTTTATACGGTGACGCCGATGGAGACTGGAATCCGGACTACGATAGCAGCAAATCCAGGACTGGAATTCTCGAATTTAACGTGAATATCTATCGTGGGGTTGCCGTGGAAAAGAAGAACTTTCCCTTTGAATTTAAGTTTCCGTCACATACAACACCGGCGACACCACATCATCCATGGAGTCCCAATGACCAATTTGAACACAAATACGGCCATCCTCTACCACGCACGTGGAGTTGCCATTTTTCCCGAATCCGTTACACTCTAAATGCCTATGTGACTGTCTCAACTGGCAAGGTCATCAATTTCTCAAAGAAGGTGAAGTACCGGCCGTGTCTGGATACTTGGCCTGACGATATTCCGTGGCGGGAACATGTGTATATGCTCTCGGGTTTCTTTCGTTCGGGCAGTTTGATGCCTGAAGTCGTGATTGAATCGCATCCGATCGACTCAAAATTCGTGAAATTCAGGTTCCCTACTACATTGGTAGCTGAAGAGCCCTTGCGGGGATCAATCCAGGTTCAACTTCCACATCCAGTCGAATCTCTCAAGCTTTGGCGTTTAGTCATCGAGGCAAGATTCACGAACGCATATCGGACGCTTGATGGTCAAAACCATATCACAAAAAGGCAGTGTTACTCCAGGGTTCGACTTCTTTCCTTACATAACTTATCCACCACCCTTCCGCACAATCATCCGCTTGATCTCCGAGCCATATGTATTAAGCCGGTCCCTCCATTTTACACGTTGCGGACATTTAACATCTGTGTCTCTTGTCACCTCTACATCCGAGCATTATTCGGCGACCCGAGTGGGAAAGTATATCGGTTGAATATCTCCAGTCTGCCCATCCAAATTGTGGGCCCGCCTCGGTCTTGTGATTGATTGACACATCGAGGGCATCGTCCTAGAGACACTGTTTAGGCGGCCGTATAGGGCCATTTAAGCTAGCTCAGCCCCATTTTATTATTGTGCATCATCCCACCATTATCTACTTCAAGATTCACAAGACGAAGGCTCGGACATCCGAGGAGCTAGACCAAATATATAAAGAACGCATTGGCACTCGGATGTTCCGAACGTATCAGTCAGTGATCTACGCCTCAGGAGCTCTATAACAGGCAATCGGCCACTCAGAATAACCAGAAAACAAAAGGAAGCAAGCCCTCTAGCCAAACTCCAATAAATATGTGTATGGACCATCTAAACGCTCCTAATCCAATTCGTCCACTGACACTCACACCCGCCAGTCCCTCCGTCGACACCCCCATAACTCCCACCCTTCTCACTCGAACCAGCAGGATTAATCAACGTCCCTCCCGCACTTCGATCCTCGATTTCCAGCTTATGATTTGTAACGTTGTAATGCCCATCCTCTTCAACCCCGTAGCAGTACACCAGTTTCTGATCCTCATTGCCGCCGTGGCGATCAACTGTTAGAGTAACGGGATAGGGAAACGAGCCTGGACGGGTAAAATCCGTCGCAGACGACGAAGACGTCGGCGTTGTTGAGGTGGCTGTTGGTGTTGATGAGGCGGGTGTGCTTGTGCCTGTGCCTGTGCCTGTGCCTGTACTCCCGCTTGAAATCAGGTTGTAACCCAGCTTCCCAGGCTGGGTCCAGATCTGCACAAGGAAGCGTGTTTGAGACCATGTGCAGCGCACTTTTGCGCTGGACTGGGCCGACCCGCCGTTATTGTCGTTGGCGTTGGTGTCGCTTGTTCCGCCGTTTAGAGGGGACTCGGATTCGAGGAAGATCGACTTGTCAAAGTATGTGTAGAAGCCGTAGTGCTCTGTTGACATCCCCCGGTTGTATAGACGGACTGGCTGCGAGTCTGGGAGTGGGTAGAGTGTTGCCGCTGCGGGTAAACCGTCGGAGGTCTCATCGGGTGCGGGGATGATATCTGATAGATTGAATGTTTCGCTGGATGTGGAAGAAGAAGGGGAGCGGCGGAATAGGGCGTTAGAGGACACTTGCGCTGGCGACATGATGGTCATGTAGAAAGGCGTATCCTCGCCTGGGTAAGGGAAGGCATTGCCGTCTGTGGTGTTACCCAGGAACGTCTGGTCTGCAAGACTCGGTGGTGACGGCGACGGATCGAATGAGCCGCTATCCCTCCTGACACGCAGTGTCGATGTAGTGTTGACAGTTGTGCTGTGATTGTAAGTCCCGTTGAGAAAGCGAATTTCGACCCGGAAGTTAGGGTTGTTTGCCGCGTAGGGCATATTCGCAGACTGCAGCTCGCCCTTGGGCAAGGCACAGCTCCACAACGAAGTGGGCGCAATGCACGCTGACCGCTGGACCTGCGGCTCGGGGCCTGCTATCGTCGTAATCCCCGTAGGCATGGGCGGGTATCCCGTCAGATTGAGCCACTGGGACTGGACGGGTGTTGTGTCTCCGTGTTTGGTTAGAGTGAGCGCGAGGGAAATAGCCACTGTGACAATCACGAAGAAGAAAATGCAAATGCCAAAGTACCACCGTCGTCGGAGTCGGCCCTCACGTCCTGGCCGTCCGAAGCATCCCCTCTTAGAGACCGGGCCTCGTCCGCGCCATAGACCGCCAACTTGGCGTCCAATGGCATCTTCTCTTTCCAGTCGGCGGCGATGGTTCTCACCCGGTCCTCTTGGCGCAGTTGGATCCATCACTGCTGCTCCTGGTGAAGGGTGTAAAGCGTAGCGTGGCGGTAGAGCGTCATCTCTTTGATACTGTGTGTATGCTGGGGCTGGGACCTGCATATCATTCATGGGGATTGACCTGGTACCCTCTGTCTGTTGCTGAAAGCCCGGAGATACTGGTTCTGGTGCTCGAGAATGTTCCTGTATCCATGTTGAATTTGGCGTTGCTTGTTGTCCTAACGGCGTGCCATGACCAGGAGGATAGACGGGTCCGTACGGGAGCGCTTCCTTTTCCATCACAGGAGCTGGCTGGAAAGGCGGCTGAGCAACTGGCGGTGGATAGTGGACGTTGTTCACAGGTGGGGAGAAGGTGTTGATTATTTGCGGCGGAGGAGCAGCAACAGGCGTAGGAGCCCGTTTCTCAGATTCGAAAAACCGTGGTTGGGGAACCACCGGTGGCTCTTCAATGAAACCTTTAGTCTGGGACAAAGACTTATCCTGCTCTGGAGTATCAACCACCGTGGACGCCCACGAGTCTGTGCTCGTAGCAGAAACAGGCGACTGTGTAGCACCTTTCGTGTCTTCGTTATTTGGCCGAGGGGAGTCAACATCAATAAGAAGTCCTCGGGTGGCAGTTTTTGTCTTCTCTGCGGGTACTCCACGACCATGAAGACCAGCGTTCGGAGAATCAACCTCAACAAGAGCTAGTCCCCGATCCCCAGGCACATCTACTACAGCTTTGTCGTTGCTAAGGATATTGACGGGCGCGATAGAGCAGACATGACCCTGGCATTCAAAGAACGGAGTCTTGCTGAAAAGCTCATGGGCACAAGCCTGGTAATACTCAGCCGCAAGGCCCTGCATAGGACGTCCGGGAAACATCATGGACATCATGTTGTCTCTGTTGGTCGGGACCACTGCGGCCACTTCTGGAACATCGCCGCTGAGTGACCGTGACTGCTCCAGATTTTTCTCCCATGAACTCGGCGCAACAGCTTCTGGGGTTTCGGGCGAAAAACACGAAACTTCTTTCTCCCACCAATCTTTAGTTGATCCTTTGGTGCGGACGGTTCGAGGAGAAATGGAGAAGCCGGGGCTGGTGGGTGACTTCTTGCTTGAGAAGGTGTTGGAACGGCTGAGCAGCGGGGAGAGCAGGTAGGTCCACCACCCCTGAGACAGAGGTCTGTTCGACTCGGTGTTTACGCTTAACCGGCTGGGCTTCTTTTCCTGGGGACTATCTTCTTCAAAGATGGTACCGGTAGAGAGCGAGCGGTTGCGTGTTGACGACGGGGGATTAGTATCGATTTTTCTGGCTGCATGTAAGGCTGGGATTGCAGGCACTGGTGGGATATCAGACTGGGAGTGTTCGAATATAGTGGTGGGCCGAGAGTAAATGCTGGAAGTTGCCCTAGGACGCTGGGTCTCCGGGCTGGGAGTCTGCCAGGGAGCCTCTTCGCACGCAGGCGTGACAATAATCGAGGGAGTGAGTGGTGTAGTAGCTTGGTCGCCGGCACTGTCAGGGTCCCTCCTTTTGAGCCGGTCCAAATGCAGAGCCTCGTTAGATGGCACAGTGAGTCCGATGACCACATTCAGATCCGATGGCGACACTTCGTACTGATCACGGAAAGGGTTGTTGGGATTTGCTTCTAGCCGAGCGTTTACGGCATTGATGTTAAATGTACCTGCTGGATCCTGTTGGATATCGACATCGACAGAACCCTCATCAGGTAGTCGGTAGAATCCACCCGCAGTCGTCGTCTGCTTCTTCTTCGAAACCGCTTTGCCTTTCTGTCTCTGAGCGGACCTCTCCTTCTCCCTTGCCTGGGACAATAACTTCAGATCATTCAAATCCACAAACGGAGCCGCATTTCCCTCAGCTCGAGGGGTAGCTGTTGAACCCGTCTGCGAAAAGTCCGTCACCAAGTTCAGACCCACGGGTTTCGCAACGTTCTTCTTCATGATACCCCCAATGCTCACTCTCTTCCCATCTCGATCCCGATGCGAGAAGTTTACTGAGCGGTGCCCCTCCTTGCGCCTCTGGCTTCTTTGCCGCGTTGCCTTGACAAGGAACTCGAATGGCCTGGTGCGTTCGAGCTCGTGGTCCTCGGACGATGAGCACGGCGGGCTGGGGACTTCCTCGGTGATGGGCGAAGAGAGAGGGAATGCTGGTGGAAGAGGGGCCAGTAGGTCTTTCTGGCGTTTGGAGGCCATTGCTGCTGTTGGGGTTGTTGCTTTGCTTAGTTCTGCTGTTTGGAGGGTGCTGTCCGTACTGGATGCAAACATACCACATGGGAAGAGATGAAGAAGACAGAGGGTGGAATAAAAGAGAAGGTAGAATGACTGTAGAATCGAGACAAAGGGCGTTGCAGATTCTATTAATACGAATCAAGCCGGATGTGCGTGTGTGTGTCGCAGACAATGAATGAAACAGGAACAATGAGAGAAAGAAAGAGAAATCGACAAAGAGAAGCCCAAATAATCCCCCATTGACAGAAAACAGATCAAAAAGGACTGAATACGCAATACCAAATAGAAATGTAGGCAGACTCCGAGCTATTTACAGGGTTGTTAACCTACGCAGCTGCCATCATCCCGACTTGCATGCTCTAAGAGCTCAGGATCTAGCCAGGCCCACAGGCCGGCCCCATCTTGACTATTCCAGCGTCAGGAGAAAGCTGAGACGACCAATGAGAACGGGACGAAATGTGTTTCTGCAGCGATCTCAAACACAGTCCGGGGATGGTCATTGGGTGGGTTGGAGTGGTGCGAAACAGGTACGCGCCGGGAGTGGGAGATGGGCGCTTACAGTGGCCAATCGGGGAGAGTCACCTAAAATAGAGCAGCAGTGCTGTACTGTTTATAACTACGGATCTACTGGGAAATAGTGAATCATAATTCTCCGACTGGCAGTAGTCCAAATCCAGCTTTTTGGTGATTGATTGATTTGTTACATGCTCGACGGGGCGAGAAAGCAGCTCAACAATAAATCCCAGACCCATACACACCCATACATAGTAAACCCCATAAATCCATCCCTTCCTGTCCATTTCCATGCAGTAGAACCAATGATGCCATCATGAAGAACCAAAAAAAAGAAAGAAAGAAAACAAAGGATAAAGCAGAAGACAGAGCTCCGCATCCCGCGGGATGCGGATGAGCCCCAATACAGTTCAAGGAAGAAAGAAACACAGCAATGGCGGGTATGATAGACAAGAGAGAAAGGATAACGATAGATAAGAAAGGAGGCAACACCCAAGACAAATATAAACCGGCCGAGTCGAGAAATCTCGAGATGGTAACTGTTATCTAGAACAGGGATATGTAGAATGGCACATTGAAAAAAAAAATCGAGGGCGTCGGTGGACATTGCGTTTCGCAGCATGACTCGTCGTTTCTCATTTCCTGTCCCGCAAGACTTGATTACCGTCGCTCGTCGGTATACTGGATCCCCTGCATCGGTGCCACGGAGCCGTTCATGAGCGGAGGCAGGGTCCGCGGCTGGTCTTGGACGCCTGAGCCATTGCCAAACCCGGAGAACACGGGCGGATGGGCCTGGCCGTTGGTCGGGGTGGTAGCCATCTGGTGATGCTCAAAGATCGAGCTCGGTCGTGATGGGCCGTTCTGATTGAGTTGCGCGCGCAGCTCCTCATTCTCCGTCCGTAGTGAGGAAATCTCACGCTGGGCCTGGTTGACCATCTGCTGGGCCTGGTTGGCCGCCTTCTCCAGGCCGTTGATGTATTCAATGGCTCGGGTTAGGGTTTCCCATTTACTCGACTTATTGTTGTGGCCCTGCGGGAGACGCATGCGCAGCGCCTCGAAGCAGTCCTTCATCTCGCTCCGGCGTTTGCGCTCGGCCAGCTTGTGTGTGACCCGCAGTTCCGGCGTGCGGCTGTACGGTGTGTTCCCCCCGGATAATTCAGATTCTTCCCCAATCAGCTCTCGCACTTGCTTGTGCTGCATGGAATGGTGGTGTACGTTCTGGGGCAGCTCTGCATCATGGTCAGTATTTGCAAACGAGACACGATCTGCTAGGTAATCCTACCATGCTGTCCCCGCGGCATGCGGGATTCCGAATACATGCTGCTGAGAGACTCCGCCATGCTGCCTTTCCGGGAGAAGGATGGATTGGATCTCTCGGTGGAGGACATGGAGTTCGATCGTGCCACATCGGGATCGGGGAAGGCGTATGCCATACCCGCCGTGGGTGCGTCGGCGTTGTAAATCTCGGACCGGGGATTTGACGAGATCGCAGGCGCTGTCCGACCCCCCGCAAAGTTGTTGCGGGCGTCTCCAGCTCGAGCTCCCATGGGCGAGATCGGTTGTGTGTCCGAGTACCGGATGATGCCGCGCTCCCGTTGTAGATTCGACACAATCGACGATTGCGACGCATTGGTGCTGTGATATGGTGATGCTGGACTGATGGCGAGCGAGCTGATCCCTTGGTTCATGCGACTGTCGACGCTGCTCCGCCGGGACTCAGTCGTATCGGCCACGCTCCCGCGCTGGGATGGCGCTTCATAGTTCTGGTTTATCGAAGGTAGTGCGGGATTGGGCTGGGATGTGTTGAAGTTGGGCGACGGCTGCTGCGCACCGGCGGAGGACGGGGTGGTGGATTGCTCATGTGGGTAGGAGGATCGGTCGACGGCGGCTGGATGCCCGCGAACGGGCGAGGGTTGTGATGTTGAGGTTAGGAAGGTCAAGGAAGGGTAGTTGTTGCCCGTGCCGTTGGTTGCGGTCGAGTAGGTCGAAGATCCTGGGCGGGTCAGCATGGTGCGGAGTATGAGGACAAAGAGGATGAATGCGTACGTGTGCTCTGCGGCATCGACCAATTTCCCGAATCTCGCTCGACCGTGTTGAGGGACGTGTTCCCAGGCGACTTCTCCGAGGGATTGACCCCGGTCATATTGGCCGTGAGGGTCGAGATCGAGGGCAGAGTCTGCGTCGAGGCCGCCGGGGTCTGGGGCCCGGAGGCCGTCTCCCAGGGCCGATGGGCGACAGAGGGGTCCATGATGAGAAGGGAGTTGCAAAAGAGAGGGTCCAACGAGGCCGATTCCACACTATCGCATGATCCAGGTCGGGGGGGAGGGCAAATTGGGGGAGGGTGGTAACACGACGAACGTGGTCGGTCGGTGGAGAAGCCCCAAAGAGAGAATGGCCGTTCTAAGTATCCGCCGATCCAGCGCGTGGCCTAAGGGCTGGCAGCGGAGCAGAGGGAGGGAAGAGGAAAGGATCGATCCTGGAACAGGGATCTGAACTAGTTGGTTAGTCGTGTGTAGTGTCGTAGGTAGTAGGGTAGGTAAAGTAAGTAAGGTCGAGGAAGAAAGAAGACTGAAAGAACGTGGCACAACCTATAGTCCTTGGATTATTAGTGAGCCCCTGTTTCTTCTCTTCTTTCGTTTTGACTGAACTCACAAACACCCATCGAAATAATACATCCCGGTCCGCGTCAGCCCAGTCAGAGGGGCACAAACAACAGAGTCGCATCCATCGAATCCTTCTCTGGAATGTTTCGGTATTACCGCCATGCAAGGATGTGCCACGAGGAGCGCAAGGGATCCACCTGGTTCTAGTGGGAGTTAGTTTCCCTAGGCTAGTTACTATTTGACTACGTAACGACGACTAGGCGTTAAATTCCTCTGTAGGCAGTGGCTAGTGATTGCCTGTAGCTACCCTTCAATGGCTCTACCCGCACGCAAGGATGGTCTCTTACATCATGACCTCAAGTCAAGGCGTCACTGGGGATCGCCGGCACGTGGCGAGCTCAGGGGCTAGCTCCTTGCAGAATACTAGCTCACTACTATGTATGTACGGTGTATTCAATTCAAGATGGCGGAGGATGCCGATCCTAGACGTCCTCCATGCCTGTCTGACGAGCCGGTCTCCAGGGAGCGATCACCACGCGCCGCTCGTCCACACGGCTGCCACACCAACTAAGCGTCCGCACATGGCCCGTCGCCCCAATAATCACCTACTAGACGAAACTGCGATGCATACAATCGCCACCTCGACTACGGACTGCCTGCGCGCACCCGCGCGCCCGCCCAAATGCGCACGGCAGTCCGAGCCTTCTGACCCGCGGCTATTTCTTCCGTAACACGGTGCGACCGGGCGTCTCTTGGCAACTGGCCTGTTGAGATGAGTTGGATTGCGGCTTGGACGGTGGCTGGCGGGACTGGTCTGACTAGTCCATTACGGAAAGAAGGGATCGATAGTAGTCGTCCTGCGGCGCTCCTATTATTTCCGGCCTCAGACCCCGATAGTCCACAGTGCGCCCCGAGTGGATGACCGGATGGATTTTGGACGCAAAATGGGCCAAGCTAAGCATTTGACTTGCCGTCATAGTAGAGTGAAGGATCTATTTTAGTTGTTACCCATGGTGGAGCTATGAATGTCTAGACCTGAACCCAGATTCAAAGTCTTAATTCCCAACAGCTAAACAGGTCGTCAGCTGTGGCTGAATGGTCCACCCTTAGCGCGATCATTTCTGCTGCCTATACTTCAACGCCATATGGCCGCCTTGCAGCAGATTTGTCTTGGCTCGCCACCCGCGATCTACACGGACAACATACCCGCCCTTCTATGGTAGCAGTGCATCATACTTCACCCGTAGAGCACACGGGAGTTGTCCAGAATTCCCGATGCGACTCTGCCACCCCGGAACAAGGGATGGCATCTGTTTTTCTTGGTCTCACCTTTAAAGTTGGCCATGTCGATAGCGCGTGGGCCACCACAACCCTCATTCCAGTCGGCTGGCCACGCTGCGAGGGTCTCGTTCGTCTCAGGAACTAACCCTGCTGCACGTAATATTGAAAACATGATCAAAGCTTATTGTCTGTTTCATCTTCAAGAAACTAGCACTGTACCTGGCGATCGATCGCCCCGGCTGCTTCCCCCTCCCCCGACGCTGGGGAGGGCGCCTTCTTTTTACTATCGTTCCATTCGTCGATCATTCCACGGGCGAGTTCACTTTCCCTGTCGTCATGGCATCCCTTGTCGGTGGCTATACCTTATGAACTATTGGTTGTGATCATCCCCATAGCCCCGCTTCGAGGGTAGCATGTGGCTCATGGCACGCAACGAGACAACAATGTGTCCGGGAACATGTCTGGAATTCCGCGGGGGAGAAACATGCCGCATGTCCATCCATTGCGAAGATTGGCCTCCCATTGGCCCGGTCGCGGGTCTTCGAGGGGTGTCTGGCTAACTATAGGGAATTAGAGTGAGACTGGTTTCAGATCGTCCTGCATGGCACTCATTGCTATTGTATTATTGTTTAGGCAGTCATATATCTTGTGGTGGTGCGTAAGGCAAAGAATCTGGCTAGGACGAAAAATATATAGTGTCTCGGGCTCCATTCTGGAGACTACTAGTGAAGAGTTTATATTTAGGCCACACTCTCTCTATTTTAGGTATCGTACAAGCTTTTAGAGGGTTGGAAGGACATGAGACGTTTGATATAGCGACATCCAAGTGCATAAAGAACTAGGGGATTCTCTGTTTAAAAGTGCGGTGAAATAGGAACTGAGAGCTTCATAATTTTTTGGAACATATCTAGACAGACTCAGGTTTATACACTAGAACTCATCAGATGGTGGACGGAGCAATATCCGTCTACTCATCATCATCATCCTCATCTTCGAAATCCTCGCCTTCATCCTCCTCTTCTTCATCGCCATCGTCATCGCCATCCCCATCTTCATCGTCATCATCCTCAAATTCAACATCAATCTCACCAGTAATATCCCAGCGATCCCCCTGGGCCGCCGCACTCACGTACTTGACAAACCGAAGCGTGCCGCGATCACGCAGAACAATGCTCAACCGATTCCACCCTGCCTGCGTGCTGAAGAGGATACCATCATCCTCATCCGCATCTGCGGACCGGTAGATCGCCGGATCAGCCTTGGACTTCTTGGCCTTCGGCTTGAGGACCTGGTCCGCGTTCTCGGCGTCCTCTTCTTCCAGCTCATCTTCCTCGTCATCGCCAGCCATGTAAATCTCGTAGCCGCCGACGGCGGGGTCCTCAGTTGAAGAAGTCTCGCCGTTGGCTTTCTTGGGGTTTGCCTTGGCGGAAGCGGTCTTAGATTCGCCATTCTCTCCCTTCTCTCCATCCGCTTCTTCCTCTTCTTGCTTCTCCCAACCAGGGGTCGGTGTCAGACAGAGCGTGAACTCCAGCCGAGGTGCTTCGCCATCATACCCGCTGGCGAGCGTGTAGTCTGCGCCTCGCCGGAAGCGTCGGGCAAGCATGTTGTGCCTCGTGAGATGATCCACGCCCGTAATGAGCGCTAGCCACTTGCGAAAGGCCTGGGATGGGAACACAACGTTCAACAACTCCTGGATTGGGTTGTCTTTCTTCTCGGCTGATGGCTGCTGGTAGAGGTACCGGTGCTTGTGTGGCGGCCGAGCAACGGTCCATCCGGTCTCCGCGTGGATCTCATCCGAGGATGCGGGAAGGGTCATTTGCTCCTGCTCCTCAATGTATGCACGCATGCGCGCAGCGTATTTCTCAGACAAGAAATGCTCCAGACTGAGCGAAGACTCGTTGGAGAACGCATCTGACATTTCCTCGGCGATGTCTGGAGTTAGATACGACGGCGCAATGTACTGCAGCAGGAAGTTTAGGTCAGATTCAGTGAATTCACTGCCCTCTGCCTGCTCCTCCACTTTGCCCTTGCCTTTACCCTCCACCTCCGGCTCCTCCCAGGAAACCGGCTGCTCCTGCGGCAGGTCGTAGATGTCGCCACGGCCCTGGAGCTGAGCGAGACTGCTCCTTTCGGCGAGCTTCTCCTCCAAGCCTTCTTCGTATCCATCTTCGCCCTCTTGGGGGATGTGGAACCACCCGCTGATTGCCATGCGCACTCGTTTCTTGGTCTTGTCATCGCCTTCGCGGGCGTGGTAGACTTCCTCGACATCATGGAAACTCTCACCGGGCTGGACGGTGAAAAAACTGAGCTGGTTGAAGGCAGGCGGGATCGAGAGACTGAAGTCCGGGCTGGGGATTTTCACATCCTCGCCCTTGGCATCCTTCTCGGTTTTGGTCGGGTACAGGCGCAGCGCACCGCCCCATTCGGCTTGCCAGGGCGTATCCGGGTCCGTCAGATACAAAATATAGCTGAGACGCCGACTGCCAATCACGTCATCATGGCACAGGAGGTGGCATCCCTCGGTGTAGACGTTGATAGCCATGTCGGTCTTGCGACCACTCAGCGGGCCGGACCCGGTCACTGAAGATAGGTACTCCCGGAACCGTCCAGAGTACATGGCGTCGCGAAGCTTCAAGAGCGATGGCAGGCGTGACAGCGAGGCGTCGTCGAGGCCATCCAGGTTTGCCAGATCGCCCGATTGGAAGATCTTGTAGATGTCGGTCTCCTTCTCGGTGAAGGACAGGTGCTCTTGGATCTCCTCACGGACGGAGCGCAGCAATGTGGGTTCTATCAGAGGACACATCACTCCGTGGAGATACCTAGGGATTGTTAGCGTTGGATTAGGGTTATCGGGGCATGCACACATACGGGGAGGAGGAGGTATATGCGTCGGTGTACTTCTTCTGCTCGGCCGGGTCGAACAGACCGTCCCGGAAGCGCGAGGCGGCTTCCTCGCTGGACAATGCCCGTTTCTTGGAATCAGGCAAGGCATTGCCGTCGAGTGAGCCTCTTTGATCCGTCTTGCGCTTCATGGTCGTTGCGGTGAAAGACTTTGTTATCGGCGAGATGAGCCCCGGCTGATCGATAAAAATTACCAGGCGGTGAGAGAAACATATAGTGATATGGACGACAGACACCAAACTCCAACTCGTTGACTTTTCTCTTATTCGATTTCTTGTGATATTTGTTTTACTCTGTGCTTTCTCTGTTTATCAAATAATAGCAATCCCCTTTCACTCCCCATACTGAAATACTCCATCTTCTCTTCCTCTTATCTCCGAGCCGCCAGGGCCAGACCCGACACCGCTTTCGTCATCGCCGGCATGCGATCTGGTTCCTCCCTCTTCTCTCTCTTTCTCATAACGACACCCACTCGCAAGCCCGTCGCCAGATCGTCTCCCTCCGATCTGCGACTGGATTCTTGCAGCCATATTTATCGCGATGCAGCCGGAGGGCCTAAATATACAAACCTCAATAACCCAGGATGACCGGCCCGGGACACCACCGCGCCCGCCCTATTCCCCGGTGACGCCGGTGCTCGCGCCCCTGGCCCCCATCACCAACGGCGAGCCATCGATCGTACCGCCGTCCTCACCCTCGCCCACTACTCGCCCTCTCTTATATACTGAGTACCCTCCCCGACCACCGCCACCCCCGCGGGACCCCCCAGTCTTCAAGCCGGAGCCGCCACCCGTCCCTATCTCCGAGAGCGAGAACCCAGATGCCATCGCGCTGCGCTCGGCGCTTTCGATCCTGCAACTCCAGAAACAGCAGAGTCTGCGTGATATCCAGACGCTAGATCGCCTGAAAGATGCTGCCGCTGCGGACCCGGCGGGCTTCGCGCGCGAGTTGGCCGCGGGGCGCTTGAGCACTGAAGATCGGGGCGCGGTGGTCCAGTTCTCGGAGGAATACAAGGAAGAGGAGGACGAGTGGCGCGCAGAAGAGACCCAGGAGCAAGAACATACGAATGGTTCGAAACAGTCCACAGACGAATCCAAGTTCGGCCGCATCCCACCGCCGCAGAACGTCGTGCGCATGCCTCCCATCAACTGGGCCAAGTACCAGGTCGTCGGAGAATCGCTGGACCGCATGCACAATGAGCAGCTGCATCGTCCGAACCCCGGAGAGCCCCGCCGTGGAGAGGCCGCTCCCGAGCATGTCTTGGCCTCGCCGTATCGTCCGCTGGTGGATAAGCTGGAGACCCCTGCACGCCCTGGTCGGCTGAGCAAAGGGAAGAAGCTTTAAAGGAAAGGCAAAAGGGGAAAACTTTGCATAGAAACGATTTTTACGACGTTATGCTTTATGTACTTTATTGTTATGTCCTATTCTTAGAAATAGCTGGTTGGCACCGGTCACTATGCCGTGCCTTCTGCCATGAGCAGATGCATTTATTTCTCTTTCCTCTCTTCTCTCATTCGGATCTCCCAGCAGCCTCCACATAGTACACAGTGGACCTCTATCAGTGCTCAAGTTCTGACCTCCGCGGGTCATCCGGTGAGCGGCGCCTTTCTGTAGTCTGACATTTCTCGGTGTCCCACACTGTCGATATTGCGTGCGCATCGGTTGCACGGTTTATCGCTTCTGTAGAGCGAGCTTTGATTCCAGTATTCTTGCGAAGCATCGTGGTGCCTCTGGGATCGAGGTGTTTGATCGGGGTGCCGTGTTGGATATTGAGATGATCGTAGTTTCGGGAGATTTGTTGATCGTTCGTAAAACACATCCTGCAAAGCTCTTCATTCATCCACGCCCTCCTCATCTGATAGATTGCTCGGAGCACTGCTGACACCCGAAGAATAATTGTCCATCAAATTCGGGCTGCGCGCCTTCATCTGCGCGCTCCACTCCTGAATACTGGGCGCACCACCCTCGATGATCACAGGATGCTCCTCAGCACTCTTGCCCAGCACGGTCCCCGCATACCGAGATTCTTCACCGGTTTTGCTGTGCTTCTTCTTCAGCGCCGTCAGAAAGTCCTCCTTCGCGATCGCGTCCGGGTCGACCATATCGCCTTCACTGGGAACGAAACCCGCGATCCGTCGAATCTCGCGGTGCGTTGGGCCTGTGATCCAGTTCAGGAGCGATTCCAGCCCGCGCAAGTCTTCCTCGCCGGCCCAACACTCTTCCCACTCGCGCAGTTGCGGTCGTAATGCGCCCGCATCTTGCAAGGCTTGGTAGACGTCTTCGAGGACTGGGGATGGGTCTTGTGGGTGGGCGTTGGCTGCATGTGAAGCGGTTGACGAAGCGAGAATCATCATGTATCGTGCTGTCAGGTCAGACAGTGTCTCCAGGACCGAGGGTCGCGTTGAATGGAAGCCCTGGGCACGGAGGATCTGGATGATGGGCGGACGGAGGAGTGCATTATGGAGGTTGGGACCGGACATGACGGGAAGAAAGGGTTGAAATATGAGTTCTCAAGTCGAGGATAAGAATAAGCCGGGGGGGGGAGAGAGAGAGAGAGAGGTGGTTGGTAGTTGGTGCAAGGAGGAACGTGAAGATGAATGCGTGAACGAATAATAATGCGAAGGCGGCAGAGCTCTAACTAATCGGCCCGACTTTCTGCTCCTTCCTTCCGCCGCATACAACACCTACCCAGTGACCCCCGTCATTCGCTTCATCGCTGAGAGAATAGACACGCGCCTCCTTTCTTTCTCCGGCATCATGTCTGATGCTCCCCGGCCAGCACTCAAGCTCAAGCTGGGCAAGAAAAAGGCCCCGGAACCCTCCCCAGTACAAGCACCAGCTGAGCCTTCGCCTGCGGCCTCCGAAACGCCTCAGCGAAAGCTCACCCTGAAAATCGCCCGCAAACCGCAGCCAGAGTCTGAAGAACCAAAGCCGAAAAAGAAGAAGCCATCGAAGAAGCGCGCAGCTGAAAATGCCGAGCAACCTGAGCCCACGCCTTCCCTGCAGGGGCCCAAAAGACTGAAGCTGAACCCGTCCAAGAAGCCCGGGCTACAGTCCATTCGGATCAAGAACAAGGGGGTGGTCCCCAACCGACCCGTCGGCGTGGGCTACGATTCCGAGGCCTCTGATACCGAGATCGATCCGGCCATCGAAGAACAGTTTATTCTGCGCATGCTCCCGGGAGAGGACTGCGAATATCTACGACAAGCAATCAACGAAAGGAAATTCGACAAGTCAGAGTTCGCGTTCAAACCTCTCACTCGGGAAGGGCGACGCGCCATTTTGAAGATACGGGACAAACAGTACGCCGCAGCGCTGGTGGATCTACCCAACATCATTGAGGGAATGAAGAGTTGGGATCGTCGAGGATGGTACAAGTCGGCGGACATTTGCCAGATGCTCTTGGTCCTGGGGACAGTTTCCAGTGATCAAGAAGCCTTGGAATTCCCCCTGCCTTCGGAAGTTGAGCGCTCAGACGATATAACACTTCAGTATCCACATGGGTTGGCGCCGCCCTTGCGATGGGTGCGAAAGCGACGGTTCCGTGATCGTGTTAGCACGCGCACCATCCAACAGGCCGAGAACGCAGTGGAAGACCTGATTGCACAAGATGAACATTCTATTTTTCCACCGCGGTTTGAACTGGTGGACAGTGCATCGCTCAACCGCGTCGAAGGGCTGGGGCAGGCTGAGTATGAAGAGTACGACGACGAGCAAGATGCCGAGGGCGAGGAGGATATGATGGACGATCTCGAAGATGCTCTTGCCGCCGAAATGGAAGCAGCTCTGGCTGCTGGAGATGACGAGGCCGCTGCAGTATCAGTTCCTGAGCACCGAGCAGGCACTCCATCTGTAAAGACGCCGGCCGAGCCACCAACAGATCAAGCCGAATCATCAGGTGACGAGAGCGACATGTCAGATGAGGGCGGCGACGAACCGGAAGACGATATGGATGACGACCAGCTCGAGGAGCAACGGGAAAACCAGCAGCAGCTCGAAGAGATCGCAGAGCTGGAGGCACTCATTCGCAATGAAACGGCTCAGGCTCAAAAGGTGCAGAACCATATCCTGCGGAACAAGATGGGCCGGCGCATCCAAGAGTTGAAGAAAGACTTGGAGTTGAAGAAAGTCTCGATCGGCATGTCAGGAGACGCTGATATTTAATAATCCGTTACATTTGTTCACGATACATATGACACTCGATTGGCGCATCTATCACGCTTCACCTACTACCCACCACCGGCTCCCCAGTCGCTTCCTTGACTGCGTCTTTAACGTCCAAGCTCTCATCGTGCTTTAACTTGCGCTCCCTGACCGCCTCTCTTTCAGCGGCTTCATGGTCCGGTGCTGGAGGGCTGCGCCCGACTTTGTCTCCCAGCATCTTTTCATGCTGCTGCTGTTTCCGGCCCATATCGGCTGCGAGATCTCTTTCCTCTCCCTGGCCAGGGTGTCCAGGTCCTGCAGCGCTACCGACGGGGCCTGCGTGCGCCCCCGCCTGCGCACGTCGCATACCCATTCCTTTTCGCTCAACAGCATCTGCGATGTATCCCTCTGCTGGTTGCTGCTCCACGCCATACTCCAAGTCGACATCGGGAGACTTCTGTGACGAGGGCTGTTCTTGCTGGCGTTTTGCGTCGAGACGAGCACGCTCCTCGTCACTTGAGGGTTTCGAGTCTGCGGTGCGCCGAGTAATGGACCCCGGCGCGTCGCCATAATGGCGCGCAGGCGCAGTCGGAGCTCGTTGTTCTTGTGGTGTATGCGACACCGGGTTGGAGGCTTGCCCATAGGCCGCTTGCTTTGGCGGCTGCTGCGGCTGATTGGATTGATTGCGGGTTTCCATTTTTGTTGAAGAAAATTATGTACGAGGGACGTGGATTTTATGAGTAGGTCAGAACTGTGTTTTTAACAGAGCTCAGGTTGTCTTGAATGTTGCAGCGACTCTGATGGCCCTATGACGTCAACCTCCTCCTCTAACCTGGTTTGACTCGGTAGATAAGATACCCTTTATTGTAGGTGATGACGAATCTAATTCTATGAGATTATTCTCCAGCTCTGCTGCCCTATTACTATGGCTGAATTAAAAAAATAAAAAAAAGGCGTTTGCAAAGTCACCACATGGACCACTATAATCAACCGCGTACATCATGGCAAGTGATTTGGCTCGACATTCTCCACACTCTCGGCAGTTGCCTTGATTTCCGCATTGCACATTTCGAGCTCATTCTGAAACTGGACTGTTTCTCCGAGCTTGATCTTGTGCTGAAGCTCTGCTGCACGTTTCACAGGCGAAGTCGTATCGTCCATGAAAACGACGTCCAGCAACTCTAGCGACAGACCCCCAGTTTCTGGGAACAGAAAATATACAACAGGAAAGAACGCAAGGTTAAAGCATGCAAAAACTGGCAGATTTTGTCAGTAAATCAGCTGAATGTCAGTGTAGATAAGGGAATCAACTCACTGATGTACATCTTCCACCCGATATTCGCCAACCCAATGGGAGTGACATAGATCATCAAGAAATTCATCGTCCACTGAACCCCAGTTGCAAGTCCCATCGCCTTGGTTCGGCACTCGAGCGGCACGATTTCAGCCGCATAGCACCAGACGTTTCCTTGCCAACCCCATGTAAAGAACGCCTCGAACAAGAAGATCATGACCGCCGCCACAATGCCCGACGTATGCGTAGCGAGTTTGACCATGACAGCAAGGACAAGCATCGCGCAGCCCATGGCAACTGAGAAAGTAAGGAACAAGGGCCGCCTACCAACGCGTTCAATCAAAACCCACGTCAAGAAGCTCGCAAAAAGAAACCATATAGAAAGGTACCCGGACATCAGCTGTGCTTCTTTCCTGGGCATGCCAATAGAAGATTGAAAAATGACAGTCTGGTAGTATGAAATCACTGCACTTCCTGAAAATGGCTGGAGGAATTGCACGAGCATAGCTAGAAGCACACGATGTCGTGAATGAACTCCGTCATTCTTGAACATGTCAAGCCATCCTTTTTGGACAGAGGCTTCGAGTATCACCGCTGCGCGAATCTCTTCTGTTTGTGCCGACGTTTGTTCGTCATTCGGATCTGCTCCCTTGAGAGCGGCGAGTACTTCTATCGCTTTTTCGTCTTGATCATGCAGAAAAAGCCAACGAGGAGACTCCGGCATCACTAATAGCAGGAGAGAAAGAATTATCGCTATTACTGCTTGCAATGCAAATGGGAATCTCCAGGAGAAGCTGCTGGCGTATGCGCTTGTTCCATATTCAGACCAGTAAGCGATGAGCTGTGTGTCCAGTTAGCTTGGGCCGATATTTGGTTTATGCGAATACGTGCCTGTCCCAGTAGCACAAATGATAGCGACGAGGCAACCAAAGCACCTCTCAAATTCGGCGGAGAGGTCTCTGCTTGCCACACTGGAACCATACTGGTAATGAATCCCATCCCAGCACCAGCCACAATGCGTCCCACGATCAACTGGGCCGATGAATAGCTGCTGGCTTGTATCGCCGCGCCGATACAGATGAGTAGAGCACCGGCCTGGATCACTTGGCGTCTCCCAAATGGCTCGCCGAACAGGCTAACAACAAACGCTCCAATGATACATCCTAGTTCGAACATGGCTGTCACAGTTCCAGACATAGTTGAGTCCAGATGGAAAACCGCTTCAAAGGAGTCTGAGCCGAGAACGCTGCCCATTACCCCGTTGTCATAGCCTGGGTATCCAATTAGCGTCATGTCAACGTTTGTTGCGCCGTACTCACCGAACAGAATGAAGCCCATGCCTGCAGAGCAGGCGATGCCCCCAAGGAGACGCTTTCCTTGCAACCCCAGAAACGGCATTGTGGTTCACCAAGTACCAGTGGCTTCAATTCTATACAAAACTTTGATGGGACAGTCAGTGCAGGTCCAATGAGCTTTACGCATTCCCTCCAAGCGAGTTAATAGTGCAAAAATCGATTGCGGAGAGAGAAATGTGGAGTTGGCGATATGCACCCCGGATTTCTGAAATTTATAGTCTGCGGGGATTTCGGACTGTGTCTGCACTTGAACGGAACGGAAACCCAACGGAAAACCCGATGATCATCACTACATGGAGCTAGGTCGAAAATCCAACTATCAAATAGCCCCCGAGTACTATTATTCGGAGCAGGCCCTGGTGGAACCATGGCACGGGTATTGCTTTTCCGTTCCGCCATAGTCAGTTTGACGGAAAAGCAGGGAAAGACTCACCGCAGCTAATTTTGGTACATAAAGTTCAATTTCCTAAGTAGTAGTAAAATTCGTGTAAATTCTTTGCGTTATTTCCCCGGCGCAAGGCCCACCGCTAGGTACAGTCATGGCAAGGATAAAATCCATGGAGTATTTCCGGGTTCCTCCCCGGTGGCTATTTGTCAAAGTCACTGATGAAGCTGGCAATGTTGGCTGGGGTGAAGCCTCATTGGAGGGTCACACACAAGCTGTGGAAGGATGCCTAGACTCATGGTTTGAGAAATTCCAGGGAACTGATGCTGAGTACGGCCAATCTTTGTGGAGAGAACTGCGAATAGTTACCGGGTAACCATGCTGATTACAAACAAGCAAAATCGAGCATATTTGGCAAAGTGGATGGCGCACAGGTTTCTATCGCGGAGGACCAGTTTTTATGAGTGCGCTTTCAGGGATTGACATAGCGCTGTGGGATTTGAAAGGTGAGTGTGAGATGCTGTCGAAGTTATTACACATGGAGGTTAGGTCAATTGTTGACCATCAAAATAGCTAGAAAACTTGGTGTTCCTATCTATGAGCTCCTAGGTGGCAGATTGAGAGAGAAGATCAAGGTATACGCATGGATTGGAGGTGACCGCCCAGACCAAGTCAAGGAGCAAGCGTATGTCAATTTACCAGACTTCATACAACCAAAGCTTCTAACTGTCTTGATAGACTAGCCCGAAAGGAACAAGGGTTTCAAGCTGTTAAAATGAACGGGACCGCCGATATTTGTTGGCTTGATTCCCCTTCAACTTTGGACGATGTTGCGCTGAGGCTACAGGCTGTCAAAGAGACTGGCATGGACGCTGCTATCGATTTTCATGGCCGTGTCCATAAACCGATGGCGAAGCAGCTTGCAACGCTTGTCCAGCCTTATCGACCGTTCTTCATTGAAGAGCCACTCTTACCTGAGCATATCGGTGCCATTAAGGAGCTTTCACAGCTCATAAGCTGCCCTATAGCTTTTGGAGAGCGGCTCTACAGTAGGTGGGATGTCCGGCCTTTTCTTGAAGCTGGATGTGTGGACGTACTGCAGCCGGACATTTGCCATGTCGGTGGTATTTCGGAACTCAGACGGATTGCGGCAATGGCTGAGGTATATGATGTCGCCTTGGCTCCTCACTGCCCACTTGGTCCTATTGCACTAGCAGCATGCACGCACATAGATACAGTGTCCGCCAACTTTGCGATTCAGGAGATGGGCCTTGGAATGCATTATAACAACACTGGCCAGGATATTGGTACCTATGTTTTAAATCCAGAGGTTTGGCAGGTCAAAGAAGGCTACATCAATGTTCTTTCAGGACCGGGCTTAGGTATTGAGATCAACGAGCCGATGGTTCGACAATTAAGTGAGGGATGCAAGCCTTGGGAGCCGCCCAGTTTCAGAGGTCCATGCGGGGAGATCCGTGAGTGGTAGGGAAATCAGTGTTGATATTTATAGCAGCTAGACAAGGAACAGAAATTAAATAAATTCCGAAACTGATCTATGTACCCCGGACTAGAAAAACTAGCTTCAATTATATAAGCATACGTAGTCCATCGGTCCATTGGGTGCTTCCGCTGCCTTATCTCCCGAAATAATTGCAACATTGAGCTATTTCGCTTCTGAGGACTGATTTGTCCAAAAAAAATACTGGTTCATTTGCAGGATCTTTCTGCATCATTCTGCTTATCCGTTGAATATGGATGCAGACATGATATCTGTGGCCGATAGCGCAGCCGCTCATCCGTCTCCTATCCCACACCCGACACCGAGAGAGAACCGAGGTGCAAAGCGTGTACGCGTTACGCGCGCGTGTGATAGATGCAAAGGGTGGGATACGTGGTTTTGTCTCTATTCTGCCTTTCCTACTCACCGTTTCCATATAGACGGAAGATCCGTTGTACTGGTTTGCAGCCATGTCGGCTTTGTGTGGAAACCGGTTCACAATGCACTTACGATGCGGCTTACACTCGGGGGAAAATCGCCTCAATAAAATCCCGCAAAATTGGTACATCCTACTCCTCTCGACAACTGTCATCCCCGCAAGGATATTCGCCTGCTGTTTCTAGGGCGCAGCCTGCTCGGTTAAAAGACGCACTCGCATCTCAGGATGCCAACCTTACACAATTGACACCCACCGGGTCTATCACTCGAGACTCTTCTGAGCCTGTGTTGACTGACCTTGATGGTCATTATGTGGGGTCATCGTCCGGTGTTTCTTTCCTTCTGAGGATCCAAAAACGATTGGACCAGTTTGTATCGCTCCCACAAGGTTCCTCAATCTTCACCTTCGGCGATGTTCCATTGCCATCCCCTAGGTCCCTTCAAAGCCACGCGCCGTGTTTTGACCCGACTTTTCATTTAATGTTGTCGAGGGATAATACTCAGCGCCTAGTGCAGCGGTACTTCGACTTCGCTGTGCCGGTTGACCGATTTATCCATCGGCCGACTATAGAGGCCTGGCTTGAGGAATTTTATGATTCTGGTGGTGCAATGCATGCCAAGCCGAATTCACATGCGCGTCTCGCTCTCCTTTTCATGATTTTTGCACTAGCGCAGGCGCACATGGATCCGAGTCCTACTGCTGCCGGAGCTGAAATGAGGTAATACCTCCTAGCCTGACTTATACTTGTCGCTAAACTTTCTTAGTACCCGTTGCTTTTTTGCAGCGGACCAACAACTCGAAAGAGAGCAAGGTTCTTTGTGTTTAGCCAGCGTCCAGGCGCGGCTGTGCCAGTGTCTCTGGCTCCTCTCTGAGTCCCGGATCAATCATTGCTGGACACTGTTTGGAACTGTTGCACGGCTAACCTACGCAATTGGCCTCCACCGCAAAAGGAACGCCGGCTATGTCGACCACATAGAGCTCGAATGCCGGCGCAGGACTTTCTGGAGCGCCTACGCTCTTGACAACTATCTAAGCGCTGCACTCGGAAGGCCCCTCACATTTCACGATGAAGATATCGACCAAGAGTTGCCTTCCTGCGTAGACGACGCTGGAATTTATGTGAATCATATCGTTAAAGATGACAGTCATGAGCAGTCAGTCATGCTGGGCCCTGTCGCATATGCTAAGTACGATTTGTTGAAGGGTAGCCGCAGCGAACTGCGTAGACTAACAGCCATGCAGACTTTCTCGGATCTTAAGCTCGATTCTGCGAAACGTCTACTCGATCAAGCCGTCACCACAGAGTTTAAGACATGCTTTTGTGACTCAATATACTGAGGAGCTGAGGAGCTGGCGGGCCGGCGTCTCTGATTTTCTCGATCCGCCAGCGAGAGCGGCACCCCTGATTCCAATCTTCCAGCGGCAGAAGAATGTCCTAAATCTTGCATATTGGCATACTATTATTCTCATGCACCGACCTTTTCTCTTGCAAAAATTTACACAATTGCGGAATTCGACCGAACCGAGTCAGAACGATGGCTGGGGGTCTGAACTGCAAATCGAACAAAGCATCGATGAATGCGTACAGGCAGCTACGAGCATTGTGCAACTGGTGGATGAGATGGTTCAAACAAGACAGCTTTTTCGCGCATTCTGGGTAAGTCAAATCCTTCTCCATCAACAGGGAGGTTTTCTGAGCAACCGTGCAGTTTACCTCATACTTTGCTTTCTCTGCGGCGGTGATTCTCTACATTTATACCATCCAGAAGAGCAAAGATGCTGGGGAGAGTTACTGGGGCTATTTAAATGCTGCTATCCGTTGTCAACATCAGCTCTCAAGCTTGGCAGATGCCGAGTCCCTGGCTGCTCGGTACTGTTTGGTCCTAGAAGAATTGCGGATTGAAGCGCTGCGACAGACTGGTCAAAATAGTGGCCCAGTCTCGCCGGCTGAAAGACCGGAGCTTTCCCTTTCCCTGGGGAGCACGGATGCATTTGCCGCGACCAATGAGAGGCCCACGGGCACAGGTCTTGGCCTCCCTGATGTTGGCGTGGCCGAGGTTGGAGGTTTTGACGATTTCATGCCCATCGAATGCTTGCCCGAAATGACGAGCTGGGCCCAATTCGAGGAGCTGGTGAGTGCCCCGCGGGAGGAACTATACCCGCCTAGATAATATACACTTACGGCTCCCCTAATATCCGCTGATCTGGGGCCCGGTCAAATTCTCTATCTCGGGCGTTGCTCTTAACCCGGGTACCGCCAGTCTGGTTATGTGTCGTATCCGCCAATTCCTAACGGTTAATGTTTGTCTATAGTTTGTCCGTCCTAGAACAGCTTTGAGCAATACAGAAGAATATATCCACATCCAAATGCGCTTCGGCACCCTAGTAAATGTAAACTATCGAGCATCGAGGATAAATAAATTAGATCAGCTCAATGGAGTTGAGATTCTTAGTGGATCGATGACATTCACACACCACCTGTAGTCGTGATCCGCGCACGAGGTTCAAACAGAGATAGACTAATCCATCTTCTTAAAAAATTCTTTCAAGATCGAATTAATCTCATCCCGTGCCTCTAACTGCATCCAATGGCCTCGTGTACTGACTTCCTTGACAGTCAAATCATCAGCGACAGCCTTCATCTGCTCCGCCACACCAGGTAAATGGTCTGAGCTCGGAGCCGCAGTCACCATCATCACCGGATGTGACAGTTTCACCGGCAAAGCATCCTCGGCCTCGTCTTTCTCGTTGAGATTCCAGACTAGTGCGCGATACCAATTTAGTGCCGAGGAATGGTGTCCTTTCATTATTTTCTGGTGGATCATGCGTTCCTATGTACAGTGAGTTTCTCGTCGCTATAAGAATGTATCGAACCCGTACCTCATCTGTGATGTAGTGCGCTAGTGGTGCTCGGTAATCAGCTCGAAGCCATGACTCCATTGCTCCCGTGGGACCAACGTACGTTTCCCATAGTTCAGGTTCTGCGGGATAAAACAGAGTAGAGAAGGATTCGCTCTACTCAGGTGAGTATTATGTTTCTCCCGGCATTTAGAAGAATATCATGACAACTTACATGCTCATCCAGCAAGTCTCCACTCCCCTCGCTAACAAAAAACCTCAAATATCCGAACCGTTCTTGGCCGAGAAGCTGCTTGGTCATCGCATTCACTGCATCAAGATCAAAGTGTTCCCCCGGTCGGGAATACGGGACAGCCAAAAACGTGCAGGAGTGAATTCTTTCGGGGAAATAATTCACTAGTCGAGAAAGAAGTATACAGCCCGTATCGTGGGCGACAGCGTGAACGCGGGTTAAGTCTTCGTGATCGAGGATCTCTGCGATTTCCGCCGCCATTTTCTTGGTCTTGTACCCCTCAACTGCTGCGGGCTTACTAGTTCCACCGTATCCTAGTAGGTCTGGAGCCAGGACTCCGTAGCCATGGGCTGCAAAGAAGGTGATCTGGTGGCGCCAGTCATAACTTGAAGAGGGGAATCCGTGTAGAAATAGAATTGTTTGAAAATTGGGGTTCAAGGCCGGGATGTACACATAGTTGTAGGTGTGTGTTGTTGAGAGGGAGAGATGTTTGGAGTACTGGGGGAACGCGATACTAGCCATGGTTTGTGACTCTGATGATTTACCTGGTCAGGGGATATAAAACTAAGATCTATTTATGTATTGAGATGGGGGCCGGCGACTTTCTCGGAGACTTAGTTGTGCACACGACTCGTGTCGCAAGTCCGTCTAACTGCATCAAACAACGGTCATACTAAGATGGTCTCTGTATTAGTATGGCATCTACGATGCTTTTCTTAGCGGGTTTCCTGCTTGTGTCGGAATATATATCGCATGTGCGTTATTCGAGTTAACACACATTATGAGACGTGCACAGGTGTACCCTGCTCTCCGTACACTCTGGAACACCAGACCCCTTACCCTCCAACAATTCTTCGAAATTCATGAACCTCCGAAATTATTATCATAATACTAACCCACTATTATCTACACTATTCTATAGATCCGATTGTTCCGATTACGTCATCCGCTGACATGTGAAGCCGCGGACACTGGCTTCGATTACTATTCACAAAAAAAAAAAAGTATAAAGCAACAACGTAGGCCGTGTGAAAAAGCAAGTATCCCTTAAACTACCATCATGACCACGCACTTCACCGTCCCAATCGCCTCAACAGGCGGCTCAATCGTCTGCACGAGCCCGTCTGGCCCAGAGCAGCAGAACATTTATGTGTTGACGTTTACCTCGCCGAAAGATAACCGGCTGACACCGGTATTCATCGATGCACTGATTCTGGCGCTGGACATCATCGAGCACCGCTACCCGAAAGGCGTGGTCGTCACCACCAGCGGGATCGCCAAGTTCTACAGCAACGGACTGGATCTCGAGCTTGCGACGAGCACGGAGGGATTCTTGGATAAGTGGCTATGGCGGCTTTTCCGCCGGTTTTTGACGTATGCACTCCCTTCTCAGAGCTTGGGCAGACAAGACTGACTCTATCCCAGATACCCCATGCCAACAGTCTGTCTGCTCAATGGACACGCCTTTGCAGGCGGCTTCATGCTGGCCATGTACCATGACTACCGGGTGCAGAACCCGGAGAAAGGATTCCTGTGTGTCAACGAGCTGGAGTTTGGAGTGCCGCTGCAGACGCCCATGATGTCGATCTTCCGCGAGAAGTTGACCCCGACCACTTTCCGAAATGTGGTGTTGGAAGCCCACCGCTTCGGTGGGAAGGCTGCGCTTCAGGCGGGAATTGTTGATGCAGTGGGCGGATTGGATGAGACGCTTTCGCTGATCCAGGACCGCAAGTTGTTGGGCAAGGCTGCGACAGGGATTTATGGAACCATGAAGGAGGAGATGTATTCGCGTGTTCTGAATGGTCTGGATGATCATGATGGTAACTTGACGTGGAGGGAGAAGGTCGAGGAGAAGAAGGATGCACTCCAGAAAAGCGGAGTGGAGAATGTTGTAGCCTGGGAAAAGAAGACATCGAAGCTTTAGGCTGCTGGTGTAAATACTAGAATATAGTGTAAATATCAAACCGGATGTAAATATATGCTGACCATTGACTGCTCTTTATATAGGAAGTGTGCTTATTGTATTCCTTTGTGATTGTCAACCAAAAGTTACCGATGCAAAGAGTGTCCAATCCATGCATTGTTAATGACATAGTAGCACCTTAATTCTATGTTTCTTTTTTAAAACTCATGTTGAGTCTTCACACATCAGTGATCTTCACCACCCAATATAGGGTTATCATACCCGTTCCAAAACAGTTGATCAGACCAGAGATGAGAAGAATTAAGAACAACTAAATTCAGACAAAATTTAAGAAAATAGAGCTTTGATAACATATCAAATAGACAATTTCTATGTTGAGGTGGCGCTACTTCACACCCATTTATGCTAACCCTAATCGTATAGTGAACTACTAGGAAAGCAGATCGGGAGATATCACATCTAAGTAGAGCAGCTCATGCCAAATGCAAAGCTACAAGCAACCCATTCATCGGCTTCCTTTTCTTCCCGCTAAGCCATTCACATACATTCATCCAATCTCCCACCGTCCATCTCGTCTGGCTCATCCATTTATCCCATCCGCTCTTTCCCGTCCCAACCATATCTCCTACCGAGTAAAATGTCTGCCACCGGTTCCAGCTCTGACGTGGGTTCATCTGATGCTGCAGATGTCCAATATGTCGCCGAGTCAACAACTCCCACTTCCACGAGGAAAGAAGGCAACGCTGCCATCTACAATCCTCTACCTCTGACCTCTAACCCCCACACTCCCGGGAGCAACCCTTTCTCTGACAGCAGTAATATATTTCCATTCTCGTCTACTGCACTCTGTTGCGGCGTTGCTGACTCCATAAGCTTGGGTCTCCACTCTCTCCACAATGAAGCGCAGCGAGATCACTCCCCAGGAGGTTGATGCGAAGAAGCTGAAGAATAACGACGGCGATAGGGAGCTTCTTACGCAGGGCACCTGCAATCTCTCTCTCCAGGACAAGGAGAACATTCACAGCGACTACTATGAAGCGAGTAAAAGCATCGATAGCAACGACGAAGAGCAGACAGGCAAGACTGCTGCCGTTGCTGATGCGAAGCCTGCGGCTCGCACTCATGCTCGAGTCCCTCTTGGCGAGCTCCCAGTGTCGGACTTCAGTGGTCTGAAAAAAGAGCAGCTGGTAAGTTTTGAGCACGTAATTCTCCAGCAGCAGCACTGACGAGATTGATAACCAGAGCGACAAGGACCAGGATTCCGCTGCCAAAAACGCAAGTTTCTTCCATATACATCGGCCATGACAAAACATGATGTCTAACAACACAACAGGCGAAGCTGGCCAAGGCCAAGAAATGGGAGAAAGAAAACACCATCAGGATGCCTGCCGTCAATAGCGCCGGCATGAACCACATCCTGCACGCCTGCAAGCCCGAGGATCCCACCGCAAAGGACCTCATCAAGCAGAACGTCGACCGCCTGGTCACCATGGGTTTCCTAACAGACCAGCGCAAGCTCACCCACGACGAGAAGGGAATGGCCATGGCAGAGACGCTTGCATTTGACGCAGAGACCTTCGAGTCCATGATTCCTGACCTTAACAAGGTCGAATCTGCCCGCGACCAGAAGCTGCTCCAGTTTGCGCGCATGCGTCGCGCCCACGAGCGTCTGCAGGAGGCCATGGACCGCATCCCGGATATCGCTAACCAGGATTATCCCCCCGAGCGCGCACCTTTTGAGCTCGCTCCCATGGGCAGCGGTCGTGGTCGTGGCCAGGTCTTCCCCGGCACGGTGCTTGCTGGACCTGTTGAACCACCTAAGGCTCCCCAGTCTCGTGCTGAGACTGGCGCTCGCGCCCGTACTGAGGCGAAGATGAATGCAAAGATTGAGAAGGCCAAGAAGGGCGTGTGAGCGGCATCATCAATGAGAGAATGTTCTGACCCGGGGTGTGAATGGTACGAAGATAGCCGGTGCACCGATAGGCAAGCAATCGCAATTTCTCAGATCATTAGTCTCAACTAGTACGAAAATATCTTTGTAGCTTTATGATGAGGAACGTTTTAGACGGCGCATGAATGAGAAACCTCTATATAAGTCTAACCCTGATTAATGATCTACAAGAGAGAGGAGTGATGCTGGTTCTACCATCAGCCACAACTCAGTCCATCAAAAACCTACTACTGACTACAGTATCACCTCTGCGCATCGTGCTTATACCACTTCGAGCCCTGCCACTGCATCAGCGCCGTAGGAATAAAGCTGGCACCCATGACCAAAGCAGTAACCACCCCGGAACTCTTAGCAAGGCCAACGCTCTCGAACATTGAAGGAAACCAGAACGGTCCAATGAATCCCCAGGTAGACCGCACAAAGTTAATGAAAACCCCGACGCTTCCGGCATCGTGTGGATGCGTATCCACGGCGTAAGTAGTAAGTACGGTGGTGACGACCTGGTTGCCAAACGCCGCAATACCAGTTCCGATCACGGGCGTCACGGTCCACTGGCCAACGGCTGCTTGCTCGGTGCACACCAGAAAGACGACCAGGCCGACAATGGTGAGCAAGAATCCGATATAGCTCAGCCACAGTCTGTATTCTGGGGCAGGCTTGTGGCCAATGCGGCGGGCTCGGGCATTCATCCACATGTCCGACATGAAGCCACCCAGTTGCTCGCCCAGCAGAGATCCAATGATGAGACCGAGGAATTGGAGACCGAGTTGCTGGGCATTGAGCTCGAACTTGGCTTGCAGAAGTTGGGGGACCTCCACGGAGCACAGGACTGAGGCGAATAGGAAGACCATAGAATAGGCGACTGCTGCTAGAAGAACGGGAATGTGTGTGAAGAGGGCGAGTGGGTGGACAAACTCGGATACTTTGAATGGTGCGGGATCGATTCGGCGGATGGATATGTATTCACGCTTGAATGATGAGCTTTGAGACCGGGTTTCTGCTCCAATATATCGAGTTTCAGGACCGAAGAAGATATACAACACGAATTGGCAGGCGTTGGTCTAGAGATACACCTTGGTTAGCGATTGACACCCTCAGAGCCATAGAAAAGACTTACAATAGCCAGAATCCAGTATATCCAGCGATAGTTGACCCGCTGGGCAACAAATCCAAAGATAAACGGACCGATAGGAACACCTAGCGTGACCATCACCGTCCAGATGCCCATATACCGCGCCCGTTCCTTCCGGAAGAAAGTCTCGGTGACCACACCGCTGCCAATAGCCATAGCCGGAGAGATAAAGAAAGACACGAGAGCACGGCACGCTGCCATAGAAGCGTAATCCGGGCTCTTAGCACAACCAATGTTACACACACAGCTCAGAACCAGTGACAGGAGGAAGATCGGACGCCGACCGTATCGTTGTGAGAGCGGCTTCCAGAACAGCGGCGCGCCTCCTAGGATGGCAATCTGCAACGAGGTCAAGTAGCTCACCCTCTGCAAGGAGACGTCGAGGTCCATTGCGATGTTCTCGTAGGCACAAATGATGGACGAAGCAGTGAAGGTCCCCATGCAGGCATGGAACGCGACTAGACCTAGATTGGCTGTTTTCTATACTTTTGTGAGCATGGTAGACCTGAATTTTGCCGTGGTCGCTTGCTTACCTTCCACAATGGCCAATTGTATGGATCCGCTGGATCCATGTTGGGAATTGGATCCAGATCCAGCGTGCCATGTCGTTCCAGGAGGTAGGCTTTGTGCGACTCCGGGAGAGATTGAGCCGGGTCGGGAAGATTGAGCCCGGCATCCTTCTCCTCGACATAATTTGCGTCGGACTTGATTGACATATCGTTCCCTCCTTCGGTTGACGACATGGTTGCAGAAATAATGAAAACAATCACGTCCAACAGTCACCGAGTGGGAGGAAGGGGGATTAAAAGGGGAAGAGGGACAAGACCCCAGACCGGGGACTACGGATCCGGCCATCCCGGTGGGCCTCCGGGGACTCAACAAGTGGAACAGACCGGGGACAGTATGGGGTTCTGGGGTACGATTGGAGTTTCTAGACGATGATAGACACCATATTTGTGCCACACTGGGGCGAGACCGCCAAGTCGGTACTTATGGGCCGGCTTCTTTGCCGATAAACATACAAGGCGGACACGGGAACTCATGCTTTCTGGTGCCGAACCCTGGATGGGCCGAGGCCTGTCGTCCCGCCCTGGGCTAACTGCCGATAGTCTCTTCCGGGGACACGTTGTTGAGAGTCAGTTTCTCTGACCCCGGACTGGGGTAGCTGGGGAAGGAACCTGGGAACCCAGGCATTATTATAGCCGCTAATGTAGTTAGATGTCGGGCCGTGGGAGATTCAGAGTTTCCACCAAATAGATGATAACAGGAAGGTTAGGCGGGATGGCGCAGAGGGATCTACCGCCAGTTAGCGTGCTCGGAGATCTATACGATTGGACCTATACTGTAGTGTTCTTAGATTGTTTGAGGTTAGTAGTTGCTTCTGTTGTATTGTTTATCTAGTATTAAATATCAGCCAACTTCCTGGCAAAGACTCAATAATAATCCAAGTAGGCTGTTCGTCCAAACCCAATGTTGTCTTGGCTGGCGGTGACATCAGTCCTCTCTCCATTCCCTGGACCTTTTTCCCTTCAACCTTCAACCCACCATGGTCTACGCATTCACCCTCCCGACCACCTCGCCTCTCTCCTTTCAGTCCTTCATCACATCATCCACACACCCATCCCTCCCCCAATCTGCCTCCACCGCCCGCCATGCCCTCCACCTGGCCCTCAAAGCCCACAAGCGCCTACCCCGCGGCGCGCGCCAGGACGCCCACCTACCCACCGTGCTCTCCACACTGACCGAATACGTACCGTACCTCTTTGCAATATCCCATGGCCTAAGTGGGAAACCCATCCAACATGAATCAAGCACCAACGCAGCTCCGCGCTCCGGCGAAGAAATCGAGATCACGCTGCGCGCAGAGATCGAGTCTGCCTGGCGTCCGACGTTGTCTTCTGCCAGCAGTCTACTGAGTAGTACCCCCGGTTCCAAGATAGGGGCGGCACGTACGCGGAATGGCCGGGTCATAGGTCGCGGCATTGACTTTGAGATCGCGTTCACGCTCACCACGATGGGGTATGTGCTGAGCCGACTGGCAAGGATCGGTATCGTGGATGCGTTGTATGCGTCCGCGACGCCGACGGCTGAGCAGCGCACTGCTGCTGTGCAGAGTGCCATGCGGAATTTGCTACAAGCCAGTGCGGTGCATGGGCTTCTTGCGTCGTCGCCTGCTTACACTGTCGCGACGGGACTAGCAGTGCCAGATCTTGACCCCGCAACACAATCTTCTCTATCGTCGCTCGCCCTGGCCGAGGCTACGTTGTTGGCCGTTCTCAAGGACGATGCCTATGTCGTGGCGTGCATCCAGTCCCGCAACCCGAATGACCGCGAGTGGATGGTGCGCGCGCCGGAGATACCCAAAGTGCGCGCTTTGCTCTTTGCGCGGTTATGTGTGCGTGCAGCCGAATATGCGGAGCAGGCTGCTGCGGGACTTGGAGCCGTGGGGTCTGTGCCTGGTCGCGGCGGCCGGGTCGATGATGATTTGGTTCGATATACGGGGGTTCTAGGCCGAGTGTCTCGGGCTCGTGCGTGCCGGTTTTTTGGAGTTGACGCCGAGCTGGCTGGCAAGATCGGTGAAGGGATCGCGTGGTTGCGCGCAGCGCGTACTCCGCTCGGACTGCGTGGTGGTGCAGGGTCATCCGCTACTGGGGCAGAGGAGTCTGCACCGGCGAAGGGAGGGCTCTCGCGCTTGAAGCGTGAGTGGACTGAGAGGAGAGAGGAGCGTCGCATCAGCAAAGATGCAGGTGGCGGGCGTGAGCGGAGCGACAAGGGCGGCGCCCTAGATCCCGGGGACGATGCTGGCCGCGATGAGGAGGGCCGAGTGATTACAATGCTGGAAAGCAAATGGGTGCATATGAACGATACGGTATGGTTTGCCTTGGCTCATCCACTCTCTGCGCTCTACTCTGACATCCGACCTAGATAAACACCCAGCTCATCCCAGCTTCGGCACCATTACTGTCGAACCTTCCTTCTGGACGAGATATACACTCCCCACCAGCACCTTATAAGCCACCAGCACTGGACGAAGACCAACTTGTTCGCATGCGCGCTCCGCCAGATGAGAATGAAGACCTGCATTTCGGAAGTGACCCAGACGACAGCGATGAGGATGTTTCCGCTCTCTCGCCGAGTCTCGGTCTGCCTGGCGGGTTCCCGGACCGGAGTGAGACGGCCAGTACTGCCTATTTTTGATGTTGATAATTTGATACCCAGTGTTCAGCGGATAGGAATAGGTTCGTTATAGATTAGGCCTATATACGAATCTACCGTCTATCCAGCCGCGGCAATTTGAGTAGATGTTTTTGTCCTGTGGGCGTGCACAGCTTGCAAGAATGACAGATTGATCCGAGTAATGAAAATGATATGATATATGTACAGTGCCAGCGAAAGAAGCGGACAATCCGCCCTATCCTACTGCATCCATCTCCGTGGAGTCCGGAGTAGTTTCGTCCCCAACCTTCAACACAATGACCAACATCCCATGAGCCAGTGCATTCTAATCACCTTCCACCGAGTATCCATTTGTCTGACAGGTCCACGTCCAGCTTCATACCGAGAGATAGGCGGGGACCACATTCACCGTAAGAAGACGAGCGCCAGTTTATGCCGACTTGGAATAGTAGTTCTTCTCCTCGAACAGATACCCCTTCACCTTGCGCTCCTTGATGAGCTCGAAGTATTTCTCTGTGTAGCGCATTGTGTTAGCCATTGCTCTCGATAAGTCCGTGGATTCATCCCAGTTTAATCACGCATAGCTCCTCGATCCACCCATCCAGACATGTTCACACCTCAAAACACTCAATCCACCTCCAAATCCCGCTCC